ATATAGGTACGTAATATTTCAATGTCGGGGCACCCACTTTATTGTATCGAAATATCTGCATATAATAGGCAATTGGTTTTGATTATGTATTTCAAAAATAAACAAAGCGTAACAAGTTTCTTCTTGGAAGTTGCTTTACGCTATTTTTTTGCCATTGATGTACCACAATTGTGTAATTTTTTGCCATTTTTGGTCATTTTATTGTTTAATGTTGGTTTCGTCTTCCTTTGACCGCACACTTCTCTGCACATGTGTAAGTGTGCTTTATGTAGTTGGCGGTAAATACTTGTATACCACTTATACATGGATGTTGTATATATATATGTGTGTGTTGTGTATATCATATGTGCATGTATGTGTGTTGGGGTAGCTCTGTGTGTTTATTGCGTTATTTAATAAAGGATTTTGTGGTGTGCGGGACACATCCTGTTTCTCACTATCCACACTTCAGATGGCATAACGAGCCTTTTGTTTGGTCAGACACACACACACACACACACACACACACACACACACATGCACGGCACATTCTTAGGGCCAGGACAATGCAATTGGTCAATGGCCACATGACACTTCTGTCCACGTTTTACGTCAATGGCTTCAGTGTGGGTAATCAAGCGTATACCAAAATAATTTACCATTCCATTTGGGATAACGATATCATTGGGAATGCCAAATTAGATATTAAACTTCAAGTCGCATATCCAAGTCGTTTACAGTCCGCAGGCAATTTGAAATTGTAGACCAAACATTACGCTTACGCACAAAAACAACAACAAAATTGAATGGCCGGATTCAATAGAAATCAATAAAATAGAAGAAAAAAAAGGGGAAATAACATGGGAAAGGAAAGGAAAAGCCGACGGCAGCGCATTGCGACAATCGCACGCAATACTGAAAGCGGCAAGTCATAAAAGGCAACTAAAGCAAAAACATAACAGTAACGGCAAAAGTAATAATCAAGCACAGAAATGTCAAGCAAAGACAGCAATAAACTTACATATATATACATATGTATATTCAATCGCGAGTATAGTGGTAGTAGTAGTATTGTGGGCTGTGTTTTGCGCCTTTTGCATTTGGTTTTTCTTTCGCACAAATATTTCTTTATGTTGTTTTGTTTAAAGATATATCTTAAAAATTATATAATTTAGACTAACACCTATTTCGGCCAATTCTCACAACAACAAATTCCCTTTACTCTGTGACGAAAACAAACAGACACAAGCTTAAACCACACCATACACAAACAACAAGACACGCACACTCACACACGTAACCGAGCACAAATTTTACTTCTTGCAGCTGTCTGATTTTTGGTTTTTGCGCTTTTTAAGCTCAACATACACTACACGTTGAATGTTTCTTTTGGAGATGTCAGACAACCTATCGCCACGAACGTATAATTGCGACTAACTGAACGCACAGCCAGACAAGGCATCCCAAGCCGAAGCTTAACAATGCGCAAGAAAAGCCAAAAAAGAGAGAGAGAGAGATAGTAAGAGAAAGAGAGATAGAGATAGAGTGGGAAGGGGGCGCAAAACATCGCGAACGTGTGTGTAAAGCAGAATAACGTGCAAGCAAAGCAAAGCAGCTGACACATATTTGCTTTTGTTTTGGTTGCGCACTCAAGCAGAGGCACAGGACAAGGCAGAGGAACAGGGAGATGACTGGCAGTAGCACTGGGAACAGCGATGTCAGAGCCACTACTGGGAGTTGGATATGACAGACAGGGTAGGCATCAGTGTTGCCAAGTCTATGTGAGAATTGAGGGAAGCTGGAAAAACCTAAATATAGAAACTAAGCTTTTTAATTAAATGTTGTGGGAGAAGTGTGTTTCAATAAGTTTTTTATTTCTTTTACGATGCCAAATAGTACAACATAATTACGTATGTATGTATAATGTTTTTCGTACTATATACTACCATCTAGAACCAAAATCCTTCACACAATGACTGTTACATAATATTGTGATCTTATCTCTGGCCGGTCCTGGATGTGGATTATTCTATAACTTTTTTGTTACTCTATTTCTCTAAAAAGGACACTTCCAAAATCGACAATTGAAAAACTCTAGCGGGAATTGGCGGAAAATAGCTAAATGGGCCACTCTGGTATGTACATTTATTCAACTACATAAACACAGACAAAGAGGAGCGCCTTTAGCGCCTAAAAGCAGACACTTTTTTGTCTCTGCTGCTGCTGCTCTGCTCCTACTACCGTTCCTTGCCGGCGTTTTGGCAACACTCCAATTTCTCTTACTCTCACGACGCATGCGCACCCAGAGGGGCACATAAAAACACGTGCAGCACATACGCCGTAAAAATTCAGAACGTAATGTTGTCAGCGAAATAGAATGAATTCAATCATACAGTCAGTTTTCCAAGAAAAACTCATTACAAGCCATTTTATAATTTATAACAATTAAATGCGGCTCAGTGGTGTCATTATTGGTCTATTGTCGGGCATTACTTTATTCATTATATCGATTTTATTGTGACCAACATTCCGATGAACGTTTTGTTTACGAATTTGTGTAGCATAAGGCATGAATGGATACAGAGCACACAAAAGTAAACGCTAAACGCTTTGTGTTATGTACAAATGTAGATACTTATGTACTTATGTATTTGACCTCTCTTTCTCTGGCTCTCTCTCTCTCTCTCTCTCTTTTACATTCAAACTCAAGTTGAATGACATTGTCAGGCGGCAAAAGAGTCCCCGTTGGCAGCGTGCTTCATATCCTCGCTTTCGATGTACATATGTATGTAATGTAAATACATATGCATGCATGAGCATGTTTTTGGCGCTTGTTCCCGCTACGCGGGACGCCTCTTTTATGTGTGTGCGTGTGTCTCTATTTGTGTGTGAATACAAGTTTTAATAAGCGGCGCGTCGAGGCCTCTGTCAAGAGTTTTGAGTTGGCGGCAAAAATCCCACAATGACCCACATACATACTATGCATGTGTACTCGTATATGTGCACGGACAGGCTTGGCACCAACAATGCCCCCTCTTCCCTTGAGCATCAGGAATTTTTGGGTCAGCTCGGCAGTCAACACATACATACATACACATGCACACACCCACACAAATAAACACTTTTGTAAGTGAACGGATGTGGCATGGCAGCCCATTGATGGCAACGGCGGCAGTAAGAGCCGGTTACCGGACTATTTGCAATTCCCATGAAATCATCAATATAGTCCAATTCAGAAGCAAATGTATGCCACGCAATGCGCCTGAAAGTGAAAAGGCAAACATTTGTCAAGCCAAGAGTAATACAGCTTTCATTAATAGAGCTTCAAAATCATGACTTGCAAACTGCATTTGAGAAAGTCAAGATAAAGTATGTAATAGTGGATTGTAAGGACTTTTGAAACCTTCCATAATGTCCAACATTCGCAAACTTTGTACTAATGCATCATTACTTTGTACGGTATTCGACAATGGCATGCCTATACATACATATGTATATGTACACATAATACTGAAAAGCTGTCTTCAAACACAGCACTTACATTCCATCACTCAACATTGTTATGCTCCTCCACAATAGTGTTTTGTTATTCTATAAAATACAAAGCACGCCTATATTAAAGAAATATTAAGAGAACAAGTCTATTTGCGAAGTAAAAAATAATGCTTGATGATTCATTATTCTTCAATTACTACCTATCTATATTAAAAAGTTTACCTTAATATTAGCATTTACTTAGTTTTTAACAAAAAGTTATCTACAGAATATCTGTTATTGGATTAAGCAAAGTACCGTGTCTATTAACTATGAATAACTATAAAAACATTAAAACACAAACATTTTATTGAGCTGGCAATTAACTGAGCTTTCAGCAAATGACACAATCATAGCATTTTTTGTAATGATGTAGGTATCGTACATGTGCTTTTCTATTATTTAATTAATAAATGTATATGTGCATACAACAAAAACAAAAATAACAAATCAACAAACTCTCCGGTGCTGGTTGGAAAGCAAAGTCCACGTTCGGCAAAAAGTAATAACAAATTCAATGCACACCAACATACGAGCATGAACATGCATATACAACGTAAATATATTTACGAAATTTCTCGCATATTGTTTACGCATACATTTGAAAAGTAAACACAAATCAAACAATACCGGCTAATGAAAAAAAATCACAACAGCTGCTGGGACAGTCGCATCTAAGACATGCTTATAAATAAGAGGATTCTTTTAAAGCTCGGCAGTAGACGAATGATTAAAGACAGTTGAGTTACTTAGACAACTATATCAATACTACTAAGATATAGGTAATATTTGTCACAAGAACTACATACAACTAAGCGCAAATGTGTAGCGAAGCGCAAGAAAAAGTTGTCAAGGTATAAACTTAAACAATTGAAACTTTTCCCACTAATCCATCTGCTTAAGTGACGTGACTGTCCAAAGTTTTTTATCGGTGAAAAAACGAATGCGAATTGCTGTTTAAATTTTGACTCATGTTCGCACGATTTCAAAATACCCTTCAAGCAGAATTACTAGAATAAAATGCATTCGCCAATAAGATGTTTGAAATAATAGGAACTTACAACAAATAATCAAATATTAAATAAATCCGTATTGCTTGTGGAGTAGATGAGCATACACATCACAAATTCGTGCTCATTTTGCTTAACAAATATTTTTGTGTAATCCAATGTCAAGTTTATCAAAAAAAAGTTATTGATTATAGATTTAAAAATAAATATAGCTGCAAAAGTAAGCTATTTGATGTGTGGCTCATCAAATACACTCACACTACAGGTATTCAAAGCATATCAAACGATTTTATAGAAAACAAATTCCGATAAGATATGTACTTCGAAGCTCTTTTGTATACTTTTAGACAATTTTTAGTACTGAGAGTAGCAATCGAAAAGCACTGGAAACACGTTCCTCATGCCGGCGCCGTTCAGTTCAATTAGCACGAACGACGAGTACGGATCGTTGGCCCGCTTGGTTTGGGGATTTGTTGTATTCATATACATATAATATATATATATATATATATATATAGATAGTGAGTGCTGTAAGTGGTGCCATTATGAGCACCGACAAGAATGTTCGGCGTCGCAATATAACGCCAACCAGCGATCCTCAAAATACCGATCCTCTATTAAACCAGCGCCATTTGTATTTTGACGATGAGGTAAGCAAAAGCATCAAGAACTCTTCATTATTATACGTTCCATAAGTATTCATAGTTATTTATAGCTAACCCTATTCTTGTACTCAAGCGCCTAAAACTGTAGCCTTCATTTATACTATATGACCAGATTTAGTCGAGTTACGTACAAGTATATTGGTCTGCACCTGCACAAATTTTGGTCATATCGATAAGTTAGTCTGCCGCCCCTCAGCCCTTATCACACCGGTGTTTTCATAGCTGGCATGCCAAAGGCCGCACGGCGAACAGTTTGACCAGAGATAAGATAGCTACTGATGGATTAAATCGAACACTTTGTTCAATATTCATTCGCTTGGTTTTGCAATGCGCCCAACCCAATTGACGACTGTCAGTCGCAATGGCTTTAATTAAAACTGATTCACCCACGCCATTGGCCCACTAACAACTATCAAGATAACCCTATAGTTTCAGAAACCAAACTGCTGCGAACGTGCCTTTGTCACCAACAACAAAATCAAGTGGTACTGGGCCCCAGTATTCCTGAGCTTCTGGGTGTTGCTTTACTATGCAATCGCCATACCCGCCTATCACAGCCTGCCAACGCCGCTAACCATCAAGGATGAGGCAAAGTATCCGGATCGTTTTATTGCCGAGCGGGCGGAGATGAATCTGCGACAATTGGTCGATCTGGGTCCCCGCGTCGTTGGAAGCCGTGCCAATGAGTTGGGTGCGGTCAAGTTCTTCACCGGATCTGTGCAGAAAATGCGCGCCGATTTGGGCTCTGTATTTGACATTGAGGCGGACGTGCAGGTCGCCTCAGGCAGCTATATCCATTGGGAAATGATCAACATGTACCAGAGCATACAGAACTATGTCGTCAAGATAAGTCCCAAGGACTCCAACAGCACCTCGTATTTGCTGGTCAACAGTCATTATGACTCGGTTCCGGGAGGCCCGGGTGCCGGTGATGATGGTGCCATGGTTGCCATTATGCTGGAGACTATACGCGTTTTGGTTAAGTCGAAGAAAGCTCTGAGGCATCCAGTTGTATTCCTGTTCAATGGCGCCGAGGAGAATCCGCTGCAGGCCTCGCATGCCTTCATTACACAGCATAAGTGGGCCAAGAACTGCAAGTGAGTTGAGAAACTAATCATTTATAAGAAAATCGCCATTCAAAGTTTCGAAGCGGAGGTTCAACTTTCTCTTCAAATATTTATTTTCTGAAAAAAAAGAATAGATTTCTTTACATCATTTATTTTTAAGACGATCCATTTTCTTGAACAGATTGATTTATTAATTGATCTTGGAATAACTTATGGTTGATTTGCAGAGCGCTTATTAACTTGGACTCGGCGGGCAGCGGTGGTCGTGAAATACTTTTTCAGTCCGGACCTAACCACCCCTGGCTGATGAAACGGTATCGCCGTGCAATTAAACATCCTTATGCCTCGACCATAGCCGAGGAGATGTTTCAGAGGCATTTTATACCCTCCGACACAGATTTTCGCATTTTCCGTGATCATGGCGCTGTTCCCGGCCTGGATATGGCACATCAGTACAATGGCTATGTCTACCATACGCGCTACGATCTTCCCGAAATCATACCGCGAGGAACCTTTCAAAATACTGGCGATAATGTGCTCGCTCTAGTCCGTGAAATTGCAAATGCACCGGAGCTGGATGATACTTCTGTAAGATTCCAATCTCATATAAGTTAAGTTTGTATAAGCTGGACCCTTTTTCCTCTCAACAGAAATACGCTGAGGGTCACACGGTATTCTTCGATGTGATGGGCTGGTTTCTGGTCTTCTACTCGGAAACGGAAGGCATCATACTTAATGTTATTATCTCGCTGGCTGCAATCTGCTCTTGTGGATACTCCTTCAAACTAATGGCCGCCAATGCTGGCGTTAAGCTTCAGAAAGTCCTCAAGCGTGCTCTCCACACATTCATTGTCCAAATTATTGCAGTCTTCGCAGCTGGCATCCTGTGCTTCTTTTTGGGCATACTCATGGACTTGATGCATCTGCCAATGTCCTGGTTCACGCATTCCTGGCTCATTTTGGGTCTCTATTTCTGTCCGCTGTTCTTTGGATTTGCCATTGTACCAGCCCTGTACTTCCACTTTACGCCAGATGTGAGTATAGTGCTATGAAAATAATTTTATGATTCTTATCCGCAAGCTTGCAACAACAACAGGTTCGTTTCCCGATTGGCCATCGCGTGCAACTACTGCTGCATTGCCACTGCCTCTTCCTGTCGTTGCTCACACTAGTGCTCACGATTTGTGGCATACGCTCGGCCTTCATCTTCATGCTTACCATTTTGTTCTACACCGTTGCCTTAATATTTAATTTGGCCACAAAGTTGCACAACAGCGGTAAGTTTCTTCATACCTTATACACACATGACAACTGTGCGTGATTGCAAAAGAATTCAAAACTTGTTAACACGACAATTTCTAAAAATAACTATGAAATTCATGATGAAATCAAAATTCATGACGTGCCAAAAATGTTTATTGCACATTTTTACAGAATAGAGAAAAGTAGTGCGCCCAAACAAACATCGACATCACAAAATTAATTGACCCCATATCCATATATAGCGGTGCACAGCAATTTTTGTAGCTCAAAAGCTGAGCGAATGGAAATATTGAAAGCAAAAACATCAACGTCAAAATTAGGAAAAAAAAATTTCGAAAATTGAACATGCCTCCAAAAGTCTGTCAGGCATGCAAAATAAAATCTCAAAATATTGTAGATTAACTGAATTATTAAATGAACAACATTTTTGATTTCATCTATCAGCTATCTGTCTTATATAGAAAACCGTTTTTAAATTTGTGTATACAACTTTTTACTTAAAAAAGTGTGTTTAAAATGTTTATATATATATTATCTGAAAAACTAAAAACTTTTTGATCTGAATGGGTTTTATTTTTTTTTATTTTCCTTCAAAACTTATTAAACGCGCTATCTGAAAATCTAAATGCCATTTTAATTTTAAAGTTCAGGGCAGGGTATATAAATATAGCTATATAAATATTCTTTCCCTTACAGAGCTCGCATGGATCATTCCACATATAGTCTGCAGCGTGCCACCATTCCTGTTTTACGCCTATCTTTCCCATGGCTTCTTTGTCACCTTTATACCAATGACGGGACGCTTTGGAGCGGGTGTGAATCCTGATCTAATAATATGTGCCTTTACAGTAAGCGTTGGCTTACTCACAGGTGGTTTTATGGTAAGACTATTTAACTATTTAGTTATATATTGTACATATACGAGCATATCTCTTAGATACCTGTGCTCAACATGTTCCGCAAGTCGAAAACCATTATCTGTTCTCTATTGGGCATAACGCTAATCTGTATGATACTCGCTGCAACACCTTTGGGCTTCCCCTATAGACCTGAAACCAATGTGCAACGGTTTTCTGTGCTCGTAAATATAAAATAACTGAATATATCCAAAAGTATCACACTCATGACAATGACTTTACAGCACACGAAGCGGACCTTCCACGATGCCAACAACAATGTGCGCCGCGTAGAATCCGGTTATTTCCTTTTGCCCCAAGACAGACGAACCTATTCAGTCAAAAGTAAGTGTTCAGCAAGGAAAAGAAGCTTTCGCCAATCATATGCTGTCCTTGTTATCTATTAGAACATGTGCTGAACGTAACACTGGCTCAAAATCTCCACAAGGACTGTGAATCGGAAATGTTGTGTGGTCTACCACTGTATAATCATCGCTGGCACAAAGCCAGGTAAATATTATTAATACCCGCCCAATCCTAAAATTAATGCTTTCTATGTTCTACAGGGCTTCTAGCCTGTGGATACCAGCACCGGAGCCTGTGCTTGGCACCGTGCCTGTGGCCAAGGTCATTAGTAAGAAGCAAATATCGCCGAACAAAATACGTTATGAAATGCAATTGAGTGGCCCAGATCACATGGGTCTATTCATACAACCCTTGAATGGAGCTACCATAACAGACTGGTCTTTCCATCGCACACCGTTGCGCATGAATTGGAAACCACCATTCTTTGTGTACTTCTCGTATGGGGTCAATGGTGATCCGCTGAAGTTCTGGTTGGAGCTAGAGGTGAATTAAATCGCTGCCAACAAAACGACTCAACTAATCATTTTATTTCTCAGCGCAACAAGGGAGACTGGACTCAGCCTGCATTTGAGCTTGGCTTAAGCGGCCACTGGAACCATCACGAAGAACTTTTTACACCAGATTTCCGGAAGTTCCTCAATAGTTTCCCCAAATATGTGGATGCTACAGCATGGCCAGCCTCCTACGAAACTTGGCACTACTAAAGAGTAGTGAAGTATTGAACAGTTAATATATTTCGAAGTTGCTTGCCATTATGAACATAAGGAAAACGACAAAATAAATTTAGAAAGAAAATATAACATATTATTTAAAATTTATTTTAAAATACGATTTGCGTGATTTCCTAATGTATCCATTAAAAAAGTGTAATTTTAGCATTTAAGTGGACTCTGTGCCTCCAGCGAAGACAATAAACGAGTCGAAATAGCGGCGAGCTTTTAAATGCAATACAATTTTGAACGCGATTGCTTCTAATTTTTATGGATATAGAAACATTACCCTACATGTGACAGTTCCGAGATAAGATTAATCTATTTCGCTGATTATCAAATCGAATCATAAACATTAATAGCTTCTGAATGCTGTAGGCTTTATCGCTAATATGTAATCGTTTTAAACGATTCGATGATTGATTGCGGAATACTGATAAGTGCTGTCTTCGCCCGCTAAATTGTTTCGAATTTGGGCAATTCATGGTAGTTGCCCAGCTGGTAGGGCGTCGGGTAGTTGACTTGCGCCTCTTTCGCTGTTAAATATCTTAAGATCAACATTGGAAATAGTGAAAAACAGTGAGTGAGAGGAGAATTTTAAGACAAAAATAATGTAAATTTAAAGAAGTTTTTTTTATAAAGTGATTTAAAAAACATAATTCGAAATATTTATGGCTACCAATGTGGTAGACAAACATTTAGGCAATTCACAAGTCTACTGATTATCGTATTCGATTGATAAGCGACTTCGTCTTAATCTATGTTGAATTATTTGTTTGTTATACATGCCCGTTGCTAGAAATGTTTAATCCAATTAAGAGCAGCCGCCTGAAAGTATGCCACCGAATTTTAATTTGATTCTTCATTTGCAGTGGCTGTTCATTCATTTGATATTACATCCTCGGAGAAAGGCTGCAAGCAGTCTACGGAAAAATGGCCGTGGTACGGAGCTCCGATCTACAGCGCCATCTGGTTTGCACTCTTCTATGTGGCTGTGATCCCCAGCTTCTACTCTTATCCCGAAACCCTGTATATTAAAGATGAGGCCTCCCATCCAGATGAATTTATTGGTGAGCGTGCGATGCGCCAGTTGGCAGTATATTCTGCCATTGGCAATAAGATGACGGGTTCCATTAACAACGAGGTGCACACGGTAAACTTTTTGCTGCGTGAAGTTCAGAAAATTGTGGACGAGGCACGCACTGATCTCTATGACATCCAAGCCGAAGTGCAGTATTCATCGGGCGCCTTCTTCTTATGGAGCATGGCCATGAGTTATGATAACGTTTCCAATGTGGTGGTCAAAATTGCGTCTAAAAACAGCACAAGTGTAAATTATTTGTTGCTGAACTCCCATTATGATTCAGAGGTAAAGTCGCCAGGAGCAGCCGATGATGGTGTTATGACAGTCATAATGCTGGAAACTCTGCGCGTTATTTCCCGCTCGGAACGACCATTGGCCAATCCAGTTGTGTTTCTCTTTAATGGAGCCGAGGAGGCCAATATGCTGGCATCACATGGGTTCATCACACAGCACAGATGGGCACCCAATTGCAAGTATATACATAGACTCTACTTTATATTTTTACGATCCATGAATGCTCACACGCCGTCATTTTTTTCCAGGGCCCTAATTAATCTGGATTCAACTGGGTCGGGCGGACGCGAGGTGCTCTTTCAAACCGGCCCAAATCATCCGTGGCTAGTGAAGTACTACCAGCAAAGCGCTCCGCATCCATTCTCCTCCACCGTAGCCGAGGAGCTCTTCCAGAATAACTTCATCCCATCGGACACAGATTTTCGCGTTTTTCGCGATTATGGCAGCGTTCCCGGGCTGGACATGGCCCATGTCCTCAACGGCTATGTGTACCACACCAAGTACGATAATTTCCAAAACTTGGAACGCGGTACTTACCAGACTACGGGTGACAATGTCCTTGCTGTGACCTGGGCCCTATCCAATGCACCTGAGCTACAAGACACAGCTGCTTATGAAGAGGGCCACAGTATTTTTTATGACTATCTCGGATGGTTCATGATCTCCTATACTGAGTCAACAAGTATCATCATCAATATTGTAGTGTCGATTGCCGCACTCGTCTTTATAATCATATCCATATATCAAATGACCACAAGTACCAGGTCAGATACCCCAAAAGTGGTGGCCATCCGATTTTCCATCATCTTTATTGTGCAGGTCTTGGCAATTGTCGTATCGGCTTGTTGCACTATACTGGTGGCACTCATAATGCAGGGCCTTGGTCTTACCCAATCCTGGTACTACAAGACTTGGATGACCTTTGGCTTATACTTTTGCCCCATGTTTTGTGTGATGGGCCTGATTCCTGCCGCCTACATAGGCTGGACGAAACAGAGAACCAACATGAAGCTGAATGAAACAATTTCCTGCTTTATGCACGCCCACTGCATAGTTCTTGTGCTCGTCTGCATTGTTTTGACCAGTCTAGGTATACGTTCGGCCTTCTTTCCCATGCTTGGAATATTTTTTTACACCATCTCACTCATCCTAGAAGAAATCTTTAGGCTGCTGGCCAAAAGTGAGTTTACAGACTGACTTATAAATAACTTAGTGAAAGCTACATACAAGTACTTTTTGTTTATATCCACAGACTCTTTCTTTATAACAATTCACCTGATTTGTCAGCTGTTGCCGTTTTGGTTCTACACTTATCTCAACTATGTGTTTCTGGTAGTATTCATACCTATGCAAGGTCGCGATGGACCCGATAGCTCACCGGATTTACTTATCTCTGGCTTCATTGTATTAATGACAATTCATTTTGCAGGCTTTATAGTAAGGCACCAGTAATACTCAGAAAAGAGGAAACTTTTCAATTAATCTTTCACTTACAGCTACCAATCTTGCATAAGTTTCACAAGTCGAAAATATTCTTCACACTTTTTGGAGTTTTAACTGTAATTTTCATAATAATTGCCGCCACACCGGCAGGCTTTCCCTTCAAGGCGGAGGTTGCAGCGCAGCGATATTATGTGCTAGTAAGTTGATTATTCAATGTTGATTAAAACATGTCTAGAGGCATTTATTTTCTTTAAATAGCATACACAAAGGACACTTCATTATGAGAACAGCACGACTAAGACAGAATCCGGCTTTTATATACAACCCGTGGACACACGTTACTCCGAGCTCTATGATACAACATTCAAGAATGCTGAACCTGATAGTTGGACAACCGAAAACTGCGCGGCTGAGCCTTACTGTGGCCTTCCGCTCTACAGTGGTCGTTGGCTGGACTGGAAGTAAGTAATTAAGGCGGTTGTTTTGCCCCAAATACTTAAGAGTACATTCACAGAGACTCGGCACGATGGATCCATGCCTCGCCCCCGGACTTCCCCGTGAAAACGGAGCTTACTCCTGGCATCAAACAGAGCATAGGAGACAACAAAATACGCTACGAGTTCAGCCTGAAATCAGTCGACCGCGTTGTTATGTATATTCTGCCTCTTGAAGAAACCAAAATAATCAACTGGTCCTTCGACAAAACGCAGCTAGAGGAGGCGCATAAGCCACCGTACTTTATATATCATGTCTACTCGCTGGTGGAACATCCACTCGACTTCTGGATCGAATTGGAGCACGAGGCGGGCAATACGGCAGGACCGCATTTTAAACTAGCCGTGGGTGCACATTTCCTGTACCATCAGCAAAGCTACACCGAGGAGTACCGCGAATTTCTGAACAGCTTTCCGAAATGGGCATATACGACGGACTGGTTTGCCTCTTACGAGAGTTGGATCTTCTGATAAAATAAATAACATTCCAATTCCGTGCATACATAACTAATTAAATACAAATGTTTTATGTTTAATGCACACACACATGCACAAAATATCTAAGGACTAATTTTAAATACAATTTGTGGCGTGTCGTTTCTGCGTACACTTTGTTCGTTGGGTTGTCTATATGCAAGTGATTTATCAGACACGGAGTTGCCATAGAACTCACAAGCACGCAGACCGATATGGGCAGACTTTATGTCATGGCAACACTGGGATTTGTTAAGAAAATATCAAAGTGGTTGTCTGGATCTCAGAACTGCCAGCTGCTGTAGGAACTTATCCATGAGGAAACGTGAGCCCAGGGCGGAAAAGTGGCCAGAAACTCTCTAAAGTCCTCCGTATTAAACATATCATCGTGTATTCTGTGGCCCATGATTGCGATTTTAAATGTTGAGCCAGACCAATCAGCACTACCACGCTGTAACAGACAAAATAGATCAGTTACCAAGAATTCACGGTATACTCGTAGCTTGAAGCACTTACATCGAATTCGATGTTAAAACGAATTGGTGTGGGATCTAGGGCATATGACCAATACACATAATATGGTGGCTTCAACTGTTTTTCAATGGGCTCTCTCGTGAAGGACCAATCTACCAATTTGGCACCATTCAATGGCTCTATAAATATGCTGGTGTGATCCGGTCCGGAAACCTCCAGCGTGAAGAGCACTTTGGTCAAGGACGAACTCTGCTTATTTAAGATCGTACACGATGGCAGGTAGTTCTTGTTTGGTTCAGGACCAGGCACCCAGAAGCTGTTGTCACTATAAAGTATGCATTTAATATTTTAAGTAAATGTAATTCCAGATAAAATAAGACAAAGCTTACACTGTATTAAGCCATCGGGAACTGTAAATGGGAAAGCCGCACATAATCTCCGTTTCGCAGTCCGCTCGATCAGCCCTGGTATAATTAGTGTTCTCGAATAGTATGTCATCCACAGAGGTAGGACGTCGATCAACCGGTAACACAAAGTAGCCTGAGTCGGTATGATTGACTGTGCTCGCTGCGTCTCCATTATGGAATGTACGCGCTGTGTGCTGAATGGGTAGAAGAATTAAATCGTATCAGAAATATCGAAAAGAAATAAACATGCGACTAGCGAATACACTCCACCAGATCTCTTAAAAATTTTGCAATGTTCACTGTTCAATATCCTCAACCAATAACTATTTCAATTCTATATTTAAAATTATATTATCAAATATTTATTTCAAAACGGTTGTCGTAAAAAAGTGGGGTGAGGATTGGAAAGAAAAACAAATCTCAAAGTTTCTTGTATTAAGCGGACAAACAAAAATAGCTTAAATAATTTGGATAACAACTATTCCAACAAACAAATGTCAAATCCCTTATAACCAGTTAATCTTTTTGTTGCCCATTCTACTATAAAGAGCTAGTTTCGAACTTACCACGGCATAGAAACGCTGGGCCGCTGTTTTTTCAGCATACGGAAAGGCAACTGGTGTTGCAGCCAGAACTATGAAGACCAATGTGCAAATGCCAAATAGGGAAATGATGGTCTTCGATTTTCGGAACAAACAGAACAAAGGCACCAGGAAAGGTGCAAGGAGTAGACACATTATTGCTGCAAAGCCACCCATTAGGAGTTCAGGATTTGAGTCTCCTTCGCGACCCGCCATTGGTATAAAGACGACGTAAAATGCATAACAGCAATAGGTATAGAACAGGAACGGTAGTATTTGGCAAGCGCAGTGCGGTATTAGCCACAAGAAATCTGGAAAGGTCAAGGGTTAAACCATGGTTAAATGTCACTTAGAAGTAAATAACTTACTTGTTTTGTGCGCGCAGGTAGCCATGTTGAGCAATACGGAAACGGTATAAAAGGCTATGCATATCATTATTATGAAAGCGGATCGAATGTTGAAGGATATCATAACAACCGTAATAACAGTTAGGATAAGACAATGCGAATGCATAAGCAACTGAATACCGTAGGCAAGCGGCAGGCCGTGCTAAAAAAGCAGAGCGTGAAGATCAATGTTGAATAAAATTTCTAAAATATAAATAAATACCTCCTTGGTTCGACTTAGATAGATGGCTGGTAATATTGCCAAACCAAAGAACATGGGGCAAAAGTACAGGCCAAAGACCATCCATGTTTCTGAAAACCAGGACATGGAAAGACCCACTGCATCCATGAAGAAAGCAATTCCAATCACCAGTGAAAAGCTCAAACACACTCCACAAAGCTGCAGGGCGGCTAAAACTCCAAACTTGGCGAAAATTCGACGCCTAAACATGCCCGTATTACTCGCCATATTCCAGATGTACGCGATAATGGTTACTATGACAAGCACACACACGGCAATATTTATAATCAAACCAGTCCCCTCCGGATAATATATTACAAACCAGCCCAGAACATCAAAGAAAATCATGTGTCCCTCTGCGTATTTCTGAAAGATAACATCAAGATATTAAAATTTACATTTAAAATTAAAATGTAAGTTACAAAACAATCACTTACAGATGGGTCCTCCATTTCATCCGCATTAGCCAAGGACTTTACTAGTGACAATAAGTTTTCGCCAGTCAATTGGTAGGTTCGACGGGGCAAAAGATTGAAACGATCGTACTTGGTGTGATAGACATAACCATTCAGGATTTGTGCCATATCCAAGCCTAAATATAAAATCAAACACTGTTACAAAGATCGACAAAAAGAAGAACTGCTGACTCACCAGGAATTTTTCCAAAATCACGAAATATGCGATAATCCGTCTCGGAGGGTACAAAACCATTTTGGAACAGTTCCTCAGCAATGGTGCTCGCAAATGGATGTATGATATTGGCACCATAATACTGCAAGTATATAGATCCCATTATATTATTATTAATAGTAAGATAATTCTAGGCTCATTTTGTAATTTGATTTAGGTATTTAGAAGTTAAGACTACTTATTAAGTATTTTCATAATTCATATTTTCATATATTTTCAACATAAATAAATCTTTGTAATAACTGTGGATTGGTAAAAGAAAATTGAATAGAAAGTTTTTCATTTTGCTAAAAGCCACCTACCTTCATTAGCCAAGGATGATCTGGTCCAGATTGAAATAAAATTTCCCGTCCGCCATTTCCAGCAGAATCCAAATTAATGACCGCGCTATCAGGGAATCATAATTAGATGGTTTTTTTTTTCAGAAAAAGGTATAACACTCACCGCACATTTTTTGCCCACACATGCTGTGTTATGAAGGCGTGGGAACCCTGAAGTGGATTTTCCTCAGCCCCATTAAACAGAAACACAACCGAGTGGCGCAATGGTGTTTCATATTTGGAAATAACACGCAACACCTCCAACATAATGACACACATCATGCCAGAGTCCCCAGCCCCGGAGCTGCCCGGCACCGAATCAAAATGGCTGTTGATCAGCAAGGTAGCATTGCTGTTGGAGTTTCTGGGTGTCAGCTTCACTACAACATTCTGTACGCTCTGGTACACATTCACCATGGACCAGAGCAAGTAGTTTCCAGAGGCGATTTGCACATCCTTTTCAATGTCGTACAAATCTGTGCGTGCCTCGGCCATGATGCCACTAATTTCACTGAGCAGCAGTTGCACGGCCACCTGTTCATTAGCCGCACTGCCCACCACTTTCGGTCCGATTTTCGACAGTCGCAGGAGTGTGCTTTCCGCCCGTTCCCCAATGAATTGTCCTGGCCGTGTGAGCTCGTCCTGCAACGTTTTTAGCTCTGGCATGCGATGGAAGCTGGGCACAGCGACCAGGTAGAAGAGCAAAAACCAGAAGGCCACAAAAAGAGGCGCCCAATACCAACCGATTTTGCTGCGGTTGTAAATAATTTTCATGTTCTCGTATTTCGATTTCATGTTGCCGCTGCAATGGATAAGTGTTTGTGTCAAAGTGAAAAAGTCAGTGCATCGAGATAATTGAATTGATTACGAATATCCCATTCATACAATATTCTGTTGGAATTTTTAAATGACACACGCCGTTTAAAAAAATTAAGTTGCAAAGGGGGTTGTGATGCGTCATTCAATTGCCCTCCAATTGAAAAAATGTGCATACTCGTATTAGATTAGAGTAGGCAAGCAAAGGACGCAATATATCCGCCCACAGCAGTAGGAAGCAACTTAAATCTCTTAAAGTGAATAGTATTTCCAATTTCACAAAAGGACTTCATCTAAATATAAGGCTTATTTTCAGAAGAAAGATTAAACCCAAAATAGACCAGTTTAAATTTAAGAAAATAGAAGTATAGCATTTCTAATCAGAAAATTATTTAAATGCAATAAATTCGAATTCACAAAAGTTTTTCCGCTTAATACAATTATTTTTAACGATGAAAATGGTTTTCAATAATTGCACTGCTATTCAATAAACTGTTTTGTTCCCTTTTTTACGACTGCAAAAGTGTTTAATCAAAATAAAAATATTTTTACGACTGCAGAAATGTTTAATCTAATAACAATACACAATTATTGTTTCCCAATAAGCTAAAGATTGAACACTGTTATCAAACTAATTACACGGAATATTTTAGAACCTTTTTTTTAAACCTTTGAGGTTTAAATTGAATAACAATTGCTGAATTTATGTAATAATGTATAACTCCGTAGTTACAAGACAAGTACTATTTTATTTATTTATAAAGTAAACTAATTTCAAAGTTTTTGCTCCATTGTTAATTATTTAAAGGTGTAAAGCAAAGACGTTTTGAATGGCTTAGAAATCGTTATGTGCAAAACACATGATATAATATATAGTTCTATAAAAATTACTTTTCAACCAGCCCTCGAAAACACTCAAATTGTATAAAAAGCACACGCATTTGTAACAAATATTTATCTTTTATGAAGTACTAAAAATTTCTGTCAACTTTCAATTATCTGCTTTGAAATTAACGAATATTTTGTAGATTTATGAAATTAATAGCAATATACAAGTATAGCGATGGCAGCGTTGAGTTTAGATTCACACATATGGTAAGTTTACAATTTTAATAAGCTGTACTAGATTTGAAATTATATAGTTAACATTGACATAAATCCAGCGGAAAACATGTGTTGACTAGCAGGCGTCATAAAATGTATATTAAAGTCAATGACTACAGCTATAATTTGCATAAATAGACGCATGACGCGTTTTGGCCTTGGCATTAATTGAACATGAAATGGTAATACATTTCTGTGGGTATTGTGTGAAATTGAAAAAATTAGGCTATGTAAAACATTACGAATTGTTTCTGAAACATGTTCAAGCAAATAAAGCTAATTATCTCACTCTTCACTATTATTCAACAGATCTCTTTTCAATTATATTGTTGACCCGGCAGCACAGAAATTGTGTCGCATGAAATTGCCAGCCCCACATATTCGTAACTTCAAATAGGATTTGTTTTTATTTATAGCCAGCTGGCACAAGATATTAAATTTTCATTTTACGATGAAGACATACACATAGACAGACACTCATTTGTGAAACATTCATCGAATTTTTACTATTTATTTACGTCGAATTACAGATGCGCTATTTGCGCTATATAAAAATGTAAGATTCCCACTTTCTTAGATAACAACAACTAAGCGCGAAAATTATTTAAACGATAATGGCTTTAAAATCTATCAAAAGCTCGCAAAAGGTGTACAAATATTCAATTAAATTTGCACAAATAAAGCAAAACAAAAAAAGGTGGTAAATGTACTTATTTTCGGAGTAAGCGATCAATACTTTAAGCAATGATAGGCCTTATTTTTGGGAGTAAACTTTTAAGACACTTTATTTTTTACAGGGCATGCAAAATTTGCTGAGAAAAAAGGCAAGAGGAAAACAAAATATTTACATTTTTCCATTTTTTGTGATGAGTGCCAAGAAAAAATAACGGTTTGGTCGCACATGTTGTTGAGTTTTGTGCATATTTTGCCAAATGTTTTTTAATATATATTTCGCAGCAAATTAGCAATAAACAAAAATGAGGCAATTAAACGTTCGCAGCAAACGTCTAATGCTATTTGTAGTACAGAAGTATGTATGTGAATGCAAAATGCAATCACTCTGTGGGATAGAGAAAGAGAGAGAGAGAGGAAGAAGAGGCTATTGAGGCTCGCTCTGACCCATTTACGCTACTGCTCCATTGACCCTTAACGGCACTCGTGAAGATTGCAATGGCGGACACGTGAAGCTGCCGCTGCCCAACCGATTAAGTCCAACCGCAGACGCGAATCGTTGTTGCTGTTATTGTTGTTGCTGTCGTTGAAACGTGTCTGCGCTGCGTTTTGTAGATTCTGCATGCAAGTGTATTATGTATGAACGTATGTATGAATGTATATTTCATTTTTGATATTTTAATCAATTGGCTGCTCAATGTGCTGTTAGTGCAGTGTTCTTTGTACTTGGTTTCATGAAAACGATTTACAATTACAGTTCTGTGCGTCATCGCGCGACTTGAAACAAACAAATAAACAGTAGTTTGATTGTGTGCGGTTGCTGCCACGCCCACGCAACTTAGTAGAGAAAACAAACAAACAAATCAAATAAGAAAGAATGAAGAACATGAAAAGAACCACGCATTGCATGATAGCGTGCGAGAGGAGGGGGAGAAATGCTATTTAAAGATCATTTGAATGGGAAGAAAATCCAAGCAGCTGAAGTAAGATCAGTAATCAGTGTGACAGACGCCAACGCCACCGCCAACAAGAAGAAAAAGAACACCAACGAACAGTGACACTGTTGTTGTTTGTTGTATGTGTTTGCCACATGCGGCTGCATCATTGTGTTGTGCATACAAAACAATAAAAGTATCTGACAGATATACAAAATGCGATACGCTGTAAGGCAGCTACGATAGCGACCAACAAGAGCAACAATAAAAGTCAATAACCTGCCACATCAACTTGCCACAGCAATAACAGCAACAGCAACGACGGTGACGACAACAGAAAAAGGAAGTTGTGGTTGTTTATAAGAAGAAAGAATGAAAGAAAGCCGGCCAGTCAGCCAACCAGCCCGTTTCAAAGCCTTACAAATTGTCGAAGCAACTTCTGTTGCACTTGGCTCACCTTTTTGGCACTTGACACAACAACTTCTTAGACTAGCATATAGTATAAGGTGCAATATGTTCACGTTTATGTCACTTTTGCCCGACGCTGAGCCACAATTGTGTTGGCACTGGTCACGCGCGAATATTAGCACAGAAGCCGAAAATAAACGCGAATATTTATGCTTACATAAAGCACTGCGGCGACAACAGCAACAAAAACTACAACAGCGGCAACGATTGGTGACAATCTGTTTATTCCAACTATGTGTATATATTGGGAGCACGATTAACACAAACAACAACAAGAGGTCGCGACACGGACCAAACGACAGCGGCACCAACAACTTACGCCTGCAACAGTCGCCACAAGTCTGACAGCTCGCGGGCTGCTTCTGCTGCTGCTGTTGCTGCTGCTGTTCTTTGTTGGCGACAACAACAACAATGCCAGGAGAAAGAGAGCGGCACTGATCAGTGCTGTCCATTTAGTTGGTTTCATTTATTACATTTTGTATTTTACTGAAATATATGTACATATATCCATATATGCATATGTATTAAAATAAATGTAGATCATCTGACAGGCGGCCCATATCAGCTCGCAATGTCATGAACCGTTCCTGTCGAAAACGTAATTTGTTTATGAAGATATGGAATCTAAATTTCATATAGTAGTTCACATGTTGTAATAATTGAAATCGTTAAATTCATTTGTGCAAATAAATATGAAGCTGAATCATATCTTTCATTAAAATGGAATAGGTTTCGATGCATGGAAACCGGTAACAATAAAAAACTAGCTGTATTTTAATTTATTTAGATATTTCTAGCTTGTTTCACATACTTTTTTTTAACCGTTTTCTGGCATACAACATGGGCAACACTGGCAAGCTCTCACGCTCACGGCTCTCTGTGGAACTCAAATTGGTATTCTTAGCACTGCACTTGACGCTGTGAGAACATACGGCCCTTGATCCTGTTGCTGAGAGGAGCGGAGGGAGAGTCCACGAATTATTTGAGAATTGCACTTAACGTGCGCACGGTCTAACATGAACTAAATGTCTGGACAGCCTATAATCGCATTTTAAAACACACACTTCAATTAGCGGATTAGCCCAAGTGCTTCAACCTTAAGTGGTGCACGATACAGGGCGCTTATCAAGGCTATCACAAGTGGCTATAATCAATTATGTACACTTATATGTGTGACAAGCAACAATCCAACGACAAAAACAAAAACGGCACTTGGTAGATGTAGAGGTTTCGGTCGGAATCTCTTTGATTAAACATAAACCAGTCAAATCGGGTGACCAAGGTACCTGCCATTTTGCATTCCCAGCTATTTTGAAAGTCCGTGCAAAGACACACAAAATACATACATATATATATAAATAAAAAAATTCTGCCAACTGATAAGCAATTGTGACTTCATCAATAATCAACAGTAATACTAATATGCGATAACCGAACTTATTAGTTATAAGTAGTGAGATGGATTATCGCACTCAGAAACTTAAAAGTGTGCACTTTGATTTTCATAATCAACAAAACAGACATTTATGCAATCTTTAAAATGTTGGTTTTTTTTATCACCCCATTCATTTGATCAGATACAGTAGACCTACATACATAAATATGTATGTATTGTATGTACACTGATAAAAAAGTTGCATAGTACAGAAGAATATTTTCATATTAATTTTAATGTTCTACTATTTCATATTCAAACATCGTACATTTTTTTAAAAACATATTAAATTTGTGGTTTTAATATGTATAATATTCAAATATATTAAATTTCAATTGACTAGAATTCTCAAGTCGGTTTTCAGCTGCTTTCATTGTATAAATACAATGTGTAACCGATTGACATCATGATATGATCGTTAGGTATGCGTCAAGTAAGATATAGAAATAAAAATGTCAATATCGAAAAGAGTTTAAAAAAACAGTAGAGAAAAGACAAACACATAAAGTGGAAAATATATTTTATAATTATAAAAAATAAACCTTTGACGTGAATCAAGCCCACGTCTCCACATCATCACCTGTGATTAAATATCGTCATACTTTAAATTTTATATTTTAATATTAAATTTTTTAATTAAAGTGTGCAAACTTCAAATTTACTAAAACACACAATGGTGCAAAATCTATGGTAAAAATAGTTAAATCTTGTGTAAATATTGAAATTGCAGTGGTTTTTTTTATCAGTGTATATAAGTATGTGCATACTTGTGCATAAAATAAATAACATTGAGAGGCCGACGCCACACATTTGGATTCAAATACGATTCAAAGAAATGGGATATTGAATACTTTTGCAAACAAACAACTCTGCATCTATATACTTGTAAATATAAAACAGTTTGTCCCGACGGTTCCAAACGATAAAAGCTAGGAAGCTGAAATTTGGACACAAGTTTCTTTTCACAGTGAAAGTGAGCACTAAGAAGCGGTTTTGGGAAATTCGAAAATACACACATATTTTGTGCATATTCATACATATGTATGTACAAGTATATTCCTTTATATGTGATGCAGTTGCATAAGTTCAATAAATACCTTGTCCAAATTTTGAGTGCTTTTAATCATACTACATAAATATCTACATATTAATGTAAATAGTACGTGTATGGTGTATTTTGATTACATTTTTCATAAATATCGCAATTTAATTCCACAATATTATTATTTAATTTTTTAGAAATTCCACACTTTTTTCTCGATTTGCCAGCGCTTAGGTACTTGGTATGATAATGGCAGAGGAGGGCGCCTACAATATTTTTATTTAAATTATCTGAAATTTCACACTTTAATTTTAAACACATATTATAATTTTTATTTTACAGAAATTTACATACATACATATATACAAACATACATATACATACTTGAATGTATGTAAATAGTACGTTATGTATTGCACTATATGCCCTAGCTTTCAGAACTTCGAAACTTTTAAAAGTGTCGTAAGAGAAATAGGATATCGTAAATAAACTTATAATTGTAAGCAAAAATACGGAGCCCATCAAAGACGGATAAGACCTACTAGTATGTACGTACTATACATATGTATGCTTAATAAATTCACATGCTAAACAAAAGATCGTATTCTTGCATTCTTAACAACTTAAAAGAAGGAAAATTGCCAGAATTAGTTACATTAAAAAGTAATATTAGATAGCGGCAATTTCATTATTATTATAAATACTTATTATTAAACTTTTTTATACCATACTACTTATTTCTTTTAAACTTCAAATATACGCGACCTATAAATACTTAAGCAGTATCAGTTTCGGCTCCTCAGGTTTTTGCTTTTCTTGGCGATAAACAAAAGAACATTGCAAAATTTAAAGTATTATAACATTATGTTACTTATCGGGAATTTTAATCTTTTAATAGATGTTACAAAATATAAATTCATTTGTGTATATATTCATTAAGTTAGTTTTATATGTAATGAATAGATTTATTAATTTTTTTTTATTAAATAATTTTTTGTATTATATAATGCTTACCTTAAAACTAATTAATTCAATAATTATTTGAAAAGTTTAGGAAGTTACTTTATATGGAAGACTAATTTTTTAAATATTCGAAGTCAGTACGAATACTTTATAATAATTATAATAATTATAAGAGTTATTCCTATTTACCTAATGGGGTTTTCTTCCATTCAAAAACAAATACATACACATATAGCCGTTAAACTCATATTAAAGTATATATATTTAATTCAAGGAATTTTTTGGTGTGAATCTAAACCTAAGTAGAACCATATTAGTGCGCTGACAAAATAATACTAATTGATATAATAAAATTTAAAATATATATATTTTAATTGAATCAAACAGCACAATGTTTATAAGACATGACGTTTATATTCATTATACAAACAAATTTTTTATGGTAAGGTGAACACCTACAATTTTAATTTGTATGTTAATTTAAACTTTCAAGTTTTCAATATTTTTCAAACCTAAATTGTGAATCAAGTCAACGGCTGGTATTATTCAATTGCCACCGGACTAATAAAAAGTTAAGAAATCGAACATTTACAAATTAGTGAGTGCAGTGCAGCGAAGCGAAAAAATGCCTGACACAATTTTTGGAAAAAATTAGAGAAACACATATAGGAGGTGTGGGAGCCGATGGCCTCTGGGCTTTGGCTATTCAGTTTCCCAGCACTGAATGCATTCATGCGGAACTCATGGAACAAAACAACAGCAAACACAACAATCACCGAGACAAGTGAATCTCATAGAGGCATCCCAATAACGAAAACAATTTTGTTAGCCTAGCGAAAAAATCAAAGTAATCCGAAGCGCTCTCGGACCACCATGTCCATACCTATGCCCCAGCTCCTAACCCTGCCCCTTCGACTCAACTGCTTTCGCTTTTGCGAAAAGGGGACAAAAGATGGCAAACAATCGCGGAATGACACAAATACAACAAACTGAAATCAACGGACGACAACAGCGCCGTGGAAATTAATTAGTAAAATACAAATAACAAAAAAATACAGACGCGTACTGGAAACAAATGACAGGGCTGTACAGCATAGGTTGTATTGGGTGCAGGTGCGGATACGGATCGGTGTATTAGTCAGCCAGTTAGTCAGTTCGAGAAGTGACGACGACGGTAGCAGAGTCTGCTGGTTCATCCGCCCGCAAATAACGAAATCATTTCATATCTATTTTCTACCAAACCAACTACGTAATCGAGTTCAATATTTTACCAGACATCAAAGACTCAAAGCCGCCGGAATCGCTCGACTACCAAAAGTCTTGGCAATAACAAAGACGTACAAGAAAACGAGGATAGTAGCAACAACATACACAACAGCTCTGAGCAGTCGTATTTTTTCCCAATAAAGATAAAACCCTAGAATATAGCTCATATACCGAGTGATAGCTAGCAACTGAAAAACAATAGCACTACTGTATCGTCAAGTAATAATTACCGAAAAACATAAAGAGAAAGCACCTGTTGTGCGGCGCTCGGGGGCCCAATAATTACGCCAGTTAGATATTGAGTGCCTTCGATAACTCTGCAATTTGTGTGGATTCCGCAAAGGCGACAAACATATTAAAAGCAAGTGTGCGATTCTAAAAGCCCAATTCGGCATTTGAAGTGGCGTTTGACAGACGTGATCGGTTAACGGTGACTTGATCAAAGTGGCAGTGGTGCGAGTCAAAAGGATCGCTCCTTAAGCGCGGTTCCTGGACAACCCAGCGAATTTAATCTGTTGTGTGAAATTTTGTGAGCCAATACTGAAAAGTGAATTTGAGTTCTAACAAAATGGGTGTACGTATTTAAATTTTCACATACAAATTAAGAAAAAAACAATGTTAAAAAACAATAAAGAAAAGACTTTAAAGCCATTCAACATTTTGAAACAAATTAAAATTAAAATTAATGGAGGCATACAAATCCAAATGAAATGGATAAAATAATTGTAAAATAAATGGTTCTTGTGGTTCGGCGTTAATTAATTCCAAATACCGTGTCTCAATAAACTTAAGGATATTTAAAAAAAAAAATGGATGTGGTCATATCGACCTCATTAAAAAGACTAATTGAACTACTTATAATCAAAGAAAAACGAAAATGTCGGTACTTTTACAGAGCTTCAGAATCGGGTCCCTTTAATCCTTAAGCATACACTTTATAGCAAATATCGGGTTGTTCGCCAATTCTAATTCTAATGATTAAAAATGCAAATCTAAGATAAGACAGATTCACTTTCCACATGATTAAAAAATGTCCAAGCTTTCATAAAATTTAATAATTGTCCAACCTAGGACTTATCTTAATATAGATTTAAAAAAATTCTTCAGGAAGTGCTTATTCTAGACCTTTCTTTGATATTACATTCATTTCTCTTTGTAGTACCCAAAATAAGAATATATTTCTGCTCCTTTGGTATCAAATCTTTAGACATTTCTATTAGCATTTGTCATCAATTTTTTTTAACTGCTATTGCCGCCAAACACAATATTCTTTTGTACATGTTTTAATCTAAACGTAGACTACTTATGTCACATAAAAATTAATAACTGAACGCAAATTGCTAAGTATGTTGCTGAATCATCGACAGAGGCAAAACAATATTGGTTTCAACTTCTGGATAATTTAGATAAGTTCAATTCGCGCGAACAATTCAAACGTGTTCAGCTGATAATTAAAATAGAATTTAAAACTTAATCGATTTATTGGTCTCACGCTTTACGATATCAACGGCCGTCATTATAATGTTCGTTCCAATAATTGGCAAACATAACATCAACAATTGGTTGTCTAATCGATCGAACTGCTCGTATCTAAGTGTAAATGCCAAGGCCAAAAACTTGCCTAGGTGCCAAGCTCGAAGAAAACAGAAACACTCATTTGGTAATGCTCGTATAGTAAGCGATCAATATTAGTATAGCTTTGTATCAACAGTCTGCAAAACGTGCTTTTTTTCTGATAAGCCTAATTGGCCACGGCATTTGACTCTGAGTATTGCGAATGGCCTATCACTGTCACCAAGCAAAGCCCCTCGAGAATATTTTGTAATTCGCATGTAACTGCCAATGTCAAGTTCAGCGGATAAGCCCCTAAGAGAGGGACTGTAAATGGACGCAATTAGCTCGTCATTTGGTTGATTAGCTTTGCCGATAATGAAGAGCAATAATCACGGAAAGTAGAATTCGTCTGACAGATGTGTGTGTGTGTGTATGTGTTCAGTGCATAGACGCGTGCGTTTGTTTACTGGCCATTGTCGGGCTATGGTTAGATAACGACAATCGCCTTTTAAACGATAAAATCGGTACTTTTTTAAAAAATACAAAATCATTATTTTCCTTCAGTCCGTCAACGCCGGCCGCGTACTCGAATTTATTATACAATTTTTATTAATTTATAAATTTTTTATATTTATTTGAAACAGAGCATACCGAACAAAATAACAAAATTAACTAGTAAATTCCAAGCTTATAGTACAACAAGAACCATTTATTGAAATAAGAACACGTATAACGTGTTAATTATAAAATTAAAACAAATATAATTAAATTACCAATAAAATGACTTGTTAATTTTATTCAAGAGTATTTTTTTCCCTTTTTTCAGTTACATAAAAAATATTTATTGAACATTCAAGGCATTAGTTTAAAAATAACTGTAAATGTACATTAACGTTTATTTATTTATTAGAAGAAGAATTCTATTTAGTCGGCTGTACGACAATAACCAACATAAATTTAATTATTAATAAATAAAATAATTAAATTTTATTTTTTCATTTATAAACTAATAAAGCGTAGCTAAGTACAAAATTAGTTAATGGATAAAACAGTTACAATATGTAACTATTTTTTAATAAAATTCAATTGTTGTAATAAATAACATAAACAAGTTAATAGTTATTCTCAATTCTGAAATACCTCTCACACAACTAATCATTATTATTCACACTCTTCGTACAGTTTAACTCCAAATATCACATAGATGTCGACTTTGAAGTGCCTAAAAAATTACAATGGTATTATGCACCAGCCTATATCGTGTTTTGGTTCGTCATCTATCTGTCGCTGGTCAATACCCAAATCAATCATATGCCAAAAGCGCTAACCCGCTCTGATGAGGCGAGCAGCCCTTATAGCTTCATCGCCCAACGCGCCGAGGATACTCTGATCGAACTGACCCGAATTGGACCTCGAGTGGTTGGTAGCGTTGCCAATGAGGTGACCACCGTGGAGTTTTTGAGGGCAGAGGTCAGCAAAGTTCAGGCCGAGGCGCATTCACGGTTTGAGCTTGAAATCGATGTGCAACAGGCTAGTGGGGCCTATATGCATTGGACAATGGTGAACATGTATCAGGGTATTCAGAATGTGGTCGTTAAATTGAGCGAGAAGAACAGCACAAATGAGAATTATCTGTTGATAAATGCCCATTACGACTCGGTGCCAGGCAGCCCCGGTGCTGGTGACGATGGTTCAATGGTTGTTACCATGTTAGAGGTGATGCGTGTTTTGGCTAAAACGGATGAGCCACTCGCACATCCCATTATCTTTCTATTTAATGGTGCCGAGGAGAATCCTCTTCAGGCTTCTCATGCCTTCATCACTCAGCACAAGTGGGCCAAGAACTGCAAGTAAGTGGGAGACTGAATCTTGAAAGGCTTTAAAAATTCAATGACCATTTGTTATTCCCTAGAGCACTCATCAATCTGGATTCGGCAGGCAGTGGTGGACGAGAAATACTCTTTCAGTCAGGACCCAACCATCCCTGGCTTATGAAATATTATCGCCAGGTACCACACCCTTTTGCCAACACTATGGGCGAAGAAGTATTTCAGGCTGGCCTTATACCCTCCGACACAGATTTTCGCATTTTTCGCGATTATGGCGGTGTGCCTGGCCTGGACATGGCATATTTATTCAACGGATACGTCTATCACACACAATACGATCGAGTCAATGTGTTCCCGCGTTCCTCATTCCAACACACTGGCGACAATGTTCTAGCCCTGGCCAAATCACTGGGCAATGCACCCGAATTGGATGATACAGCTGTAAGTAACCACATTAACCAATATATGTTTTAATTGGTAGAAATTTTAACTGCTTGCAGGCACATGCTGAAGGCCATAATATATTCTATGACTTCCTTGGTTGGTTCATAATTTTCTACACCGAGACCACAAGCATCATTGTTAACGTCATAGTTTGTGTAATCGCACTGGTGGCCATTGGGGTCTCGCTATATTTTATGTCTGCTCGATCCGGTTGCAGTTGGTCGGGCGTCCTGGTCCGATTTGGCATCACAGTTGGCATTCAGCTCGTCTCGTTGGCTTTGGCATGTGGCCTGGCCATGCTGGTGGCAGTCTTTATGGATGGGGTGGAGCGCTCAATGAGCTGGTTTACGCAAATGTGGCTTATACTGGGTCTCTACCTCTTTCCCGTCCTCTTCGGTATGAGCATTTTGCCTGCCATATATTTGGAGAAGACGAAAAGAGATCCGCTAAGCTTGGGCTTTCGCATACAGCTTTTTATGCACTCCCACTGCATCTGTCTGATTATACTTACAATCGTTTTGACGGCCCTTAGCATACGATCGGCCTATTTGGTAATGCTGTGTGTGCTGTTCGACATCGTTGCACTAATTGTTAATCTGATTACCAAGTGGCATAGAAAAGGTTTGTAACACAGTCTCTCGGCGAAACTTTCATTTGATTCGTTTTCTTCCCCAGCTTATTGGTTCGGCATTGCTGTCATAATCTGTCAGATACTGCCCTTCACATACTTCACATACATATGCACGGCTACACTTCTGACGCTCATACCCATGCAAGGACGATCGGGTTCCTCATCGAATCCGGATATCGCTGTTGCGGCCATTATTTGGCTATTTTCTTTGATGTTTGCAGGGTTTATTGTAAGTAAAGCTAAATATTATACGTGCAATCATTTCCATAATTTATTATCATTCTTTTTATGTATTTAGGTGCCCCTTCTTATGTTCTTTCGCAAGACAAGAACTATAGCACTGTGCTTTTTGGCTGCTACGATACTTTTTATTATAATAGCAGTTACGAATGCTGGATTTCCCTATAAAGCAAAAACATCCACACAACGATACAACTTGATTGTAAGTCTTATGATGGTATTTTTAACAATACTACTCTATAAATTGTTCAATCCAAATAGCATTCACATCGTCGTCTTCATAACGCAGACGGTTCTACACGAATAGACGAAAGCGGCATCTATGTCTATCCACAAGATCGACGTTTCAATATTGCTCAGGGTAACATAAATTTATTTATAATATAGCATATAGCATTTTATATAAACATACAATTTTAGACTATATAAACAAAATTGGGGAAACACACAAAGTCAGTGAGTACTGCAATGAAGAGATGTTTTGCGGACTACCTCTGTACAATCATCGTTGGCATAAGGCACGTGAATATAGCTTATGGATTCCTCTAAAAGAAGCTCCTCAGATACCAACGGTTTATCCCAATCTGACGCTACAAGAAAGTACAGAGCTGGAAAGCCCGACACGAAAGCGTTTTACCTTCATCCTGGAGGGACCCGATCATATGACCATCTTTGTAAATGTCAAAAACGATGCTAAGATACTGGACTGGTCTTTCAATGACACACTTATCCGTGAGAACGAGCCGCCACCACATTTCATTTATTTCTCTTACGGAATCGACAACAGTGCCCTAGAATTTACAATCGATGTTGAAAAAACCAGTTCTTCGTTCGATACGCCAACCTTGGAAATAGGAATTGGCGGTCATTGGGTGCATGAAGACACAAGCACGTCGAAAATAAATCAATATTCTAAGTATTTTCCATCATACACCTATTTACAAAGTTGGGTTGGCACCTATGAAAGTTGGTACTTCTGAAACAGCCATTCATAGAAGTAAATTACCATCATTGGCCTCCATTGGTAGCAAAACATATCTACATTAGATTGCACTGAATCAAAAGCAACTATATTTATAGAATCTGATAAATAAATGTCTATTTATTAATAAATGTGATAACCTAAGCTTATAACTATTATATGTATGTGTGTCTCGCTCTTCCTTAAAACAAATATTACTCTGTAATACCATACAACACCTTTATGTTAAATAAAATGGTTGAAGAAACTTTAGCACCATACTTTTTTGTTATTTTATTAAATAAAGGAACATTAACGTACGAAACAGAACTTAAACAAAAATACATTTTTATATTCGCGCCTCAAATACAAATTTCCACAATTTGCAAGGCCGTTAAAAAAACACACGGCGGAATTATATTCCCGCCGTCGCAAATTAAGTTCTGGTAAACTGCTGAAAAATATTCAAATAAGTGCTGGAAATCGTTATACAGAAAGGCGGCTTTTTCAAACATAAAACGAATGGATTTTATTTTCCTGACACACGCACCAAGCAGAACAGCCTTAATACATAAAGTACAATATTTAAAAATTGAAGCTACCACACGTTTGTTAAATTAAACTATTTACCTATACATTTGTGCTTCAACGTTAAATAGCTGTAGTTTTCAGAGTTGCCTTGCGCTTATCTTGCTGGACCAAAACAGACGGTCCGACAACCCTGCTTAACATCTGTTCGACTTATATAAACATATTATATGTATGCAAATTGATGTATGTACATCGACGCACAAAATATGTACAAAGGTAGAAATATACATATATACTAATGTATGAACAACGACAAAAATGAAAATGGTAAGTGTGCAAGTTTGAGCCTGCGCAATACAGCATGTCTTATTAGTTCGACCAAATGAATTGAAATCTGCCAACAAACGAAATGTTTGAGAACGCCAACACAATACATAAGACCATAAAATGCGAGACAGGTTAGATAAAGCCAAGTTGGCCAGCGTTGCTATGATAAGAAAATATATACAGGCAGCTTGACTCATTCAATATCCTAAATAAAGAGTTTTGTGGTGATATTACTAAGGGGCCCGTTTTATGTTGCTGCTGCACCATTTTATGGTAATTACAATTATAAATTTTTATAATACATATGGCTCGGGGTAAAAGAACTACATAACTATACATACAAACATACACATTAAAAAGGCTTTAAGTAGAACTGTTTGTCCCTATTTGTCAATCAGTCGCAATTGGCAACGGTTTTGGCTCTAACAGGCAGAATGGTTGATGATCAGAAAAAGCTCGTGAAGTATCCTAAGTTATGCTTATTAACTTGAAATTAAATAACATCTGTTATGTTCCAGCGGGACTATTATGGCTATGGCTCATCCAGAGAGAGCGAAGATGAGGAATCGCTCAAATCTTCTGAAAAAAGAGCCAGCCGAAAAGTACATTGTGGCTACGCTCCAGGATTCCTACTGTTCTGGGTAACTCTGTTTTTTGCATTGGTTATACCGCTCTTTAACCGCCTGCCAGAGGGCCTAACCATCGAAGACGAATCTCACAACAAAGGCGCCTTCATAGCCGAGCGTGCCCAAAAGTTGCTGTATGAGTACGATGTGATTGGACCCAAGGTCGTGGGAAGTCATGAAAATGAGAATGTCACCGTCGCACTACTGCGAAGTGAAATTGACAGCATACGCCAAGTTATGCTAACGGGTATGTTTGAAATGGAGGTGGACGTCCAACAGGTGTCCGGTGCTTATATGCGCAGCTCAATCGTCAACATGTACCAAGGCGTACAGAACGTCGTTGTCAAGTTAAGCTGCAAGGTCAGCACGAGTAATTCCTATTTGTTGGTAAACAGCCATTTTGACTCGAAGCCGGGAAGTCCAGGTACAGCGTTGATTACACCATTATTTAGTCGAATAAATCTTTGATGTCGAAATAATAACACACTCCTGTTTTGGTATAGGCGCTGGTGACGATGGTCACATGATGGTCGCGATGCTAGAGGTGTTGCGCCAAATGGCCACTACAAATCAAACTTTCGAGCACCCGATAGTTTTCCTTTTCAATGGTGCCGAAGAGAACTCATTGCAAGGCTCGCACGGATTCATAACACAGCACAAGTGGGCGAAGCAATGCAAGTATGGATGCAACTATATCACCTTACATATGAAAATAAATGTGACACCACTTCATTCGTTTTGTTAAATAGAGCACTCATTAATTTAGATGCAGCTGGTAGTGGAGGACGTGAGATACTTTTCCAAAGTGGTCCCAATCACCCGTGGCTGATGAAGGTAAGTTGTGTACACCTGTATTAGTATTCCCATTACTCATAAGTATTTTTTTCCAAAATCAAGTTCATAGCTTTCCTATTTCAAATAAACCTTATCGCTGATTTATCGAACCATAAACACATGTATCATTAACTCAAGTGGTTATAAATATTAAAAATTTATGATGGACATGTCGTTGTTTACTCTTTACAAATGCGATAAGATAGCCAAAGTAAATGCCACACGCTTCCTCGATTTGATTCATATGATTGACTATTTATCTCATTTAAAGTACTACAAGAAGTATGCTCTCCATCCATTTGCCACAACCATGGCTGAGGAAATCTTTCAGGCTGGTATCATCCCCTCAGATACGGACTTTAGGGTATTCCGCGACTATGGAAACGTGCCAGGTGAGATTCTAGATTCCATACGCCCCGCATCTTTTAAATAATTCCTTATATCTACAGGTCTGGATATGGCACAGTGTACAAACGGCTATGTTTATCATACCAAATACGACACTTATAACGTTATACCACGTGGATCACTGCAAAATACTGGCGACAATCTATTAGCACTTGTGCGCGGATTCTCAAACGCCAGCGAGTTGTATAACACACAAGTAAGTAATCATATCACCTTCCTTTATACCTAAACTATGCTAAACCATAAATTCTGCATTATTCAGGAACATGCTGATGGCCATGCCGTTTTCTTTGATTTCCTTGGACTCTTCTTCATATACCACACTGAAGAAGACAGTAGCATCTACAACATGGGGCTAGCAGTTATCGCCTTAATGCTAATTCTAATTTCGCTGGTGCGCATATCGTGCAATTCTTATGGGTCGCTTGGATATGTTTTTTTCTTGTTCATAAAACTATTTGTGCTTCAATTGGTTGGATTTGCGCTCGGCCTAGTGCTGCCCTTAGCTGTGGCCTATATGATGGATAGCTTAGATCGCACGCTGAGCTATTTCACGAATACTTGGCTAGCTGTTGGCTTGTACGCAATACCCTCCATGATTGGCCTCAGTCTGCCTACAGCAATGTACTTTAGTCTGAAGTCAAAGGTGAGTAAATTAAAATGATTGTACCGTCAGTCAATAATCTATATCGTTAATGCAGAGTCGAATCGATCAGTCCTATCAGCTGCAGTTGGCCGTGCATGCCCATTGCACCATAATAGCCGTGTTAGCGATTTCATTAACGTGGTTAGGCGTGCGGTCTACTTACCTTTGCGGCATTGCTCTGCTGTTTTACGTTGGCGCCCTAGCTTTTAATTTACTCACATCGTTGCACGATCGCCTTTTTGCATGGAAACTTGTGCTATGCTTAAGCCAACTTTTGCCTTTCGTTTACTTCTGCTATCTCTTCTATGCTTTCGTTGTGGTGCTCATACCTATGACAGGTCGCAATGGCAACGCAGCCAATCCAGATTTGCTTATAGCTGGCATATGTGCACTGGGTACCATCTTATCTATGGGATTCTTGGTAAGTGGTGTGATTAACAATAAACTATTTATTTTAAACAAAGCGGCATTGCACAGATGCCGCTGCTCAACGATTTCCGCCGCCCAAAACTTATTCTGACTATGCTGGCAATCCTTACCATAACTTTTGCCTATATTGGAGTCGCCACACAAATTGGATTCCCCTATAGACCGAAAACTAATGTCCAACGCGTAAATATGCAGGTATATAGCAAGAATCTGTTTTAAAGTTTCCTGCCTACTTACTACCCACCTTTCAATTCAAGCAAGTGCATCGAATCTTTTACGAATACGATGGACAAATCAACAAAGAAGAGTTTGGATATCTGCTTGATTTCCAAAACAGACGCATGGAGCGACCGCTGTATGGCAGCAAAGTGAATCTTACTGGATTGCGAACCCTTGACGAAGATTGCAGCAAGTACATGATGTGCGGCATGCCCTTTTTCAGTCGGATTGCGCAGACGCCATCACAAATCCGTTGGTTGCAACGAAGTCCTCTGAAAATGCCAGGGGATGTGACGCTAGAAAATATAAATAAGAGCGGTTCAGGAAACGGTACGCGCTTTGAGTTTCGCTTGACTGGTCCGCCACATATGAGTTTGTTTGTACAACCTTTGGAGGGTACAGCAATTACCGGGTGGTCCTTCATTCGAAACCCGCTGGATAACCCCGACAAATACGGGCCACCATATTACATTTACTTCTGCTATGGCAATGACAGTTCTCCATTAAACTTCCACATCGATGTTAATGTAAGCAAACAAGTCTACTGACTTACTTATTATACACAACATACATATCTGTAAAATGTTTTTCCTGCAGAAAACCAATGGCGATTTCAATGTGCCACTATTTGAGCTCGGAGTCGTGGCCCACTACCTAAGTACATCTTATACCCGCGACTCGGATGCACAGAAATTTATTGACGATTTTCCAGACTATACATTTATCATGGACTGGCCCAGCATATACAAAAGATATATTTATTAACAATTTAAAGCATTCCACCTACAATTCGTTTCGATTTTAATCGAATTTATTTTTATTTGCTAATTTTTTATTACACGTATATTATAAAGACTAAGCATGGGCTCCATGAATTTAATTTTAATAAAATGGTAGTACTTCAGTATTTATATTATATTACATAGTCTGAAAGAAAATTGTGTATTTTCAGCCGCTAAAATATTTGAAAATGCAGGCCTACAAAATTGTTACTAAATATTGGATTGTTAATAAATCTTTTTTTTCATTTTAACAAATATATAAATTGCAGAAACACGTTTGATTTGAAGTTTTATTTGAAAATGGCTCCAGAAAAGTGCGCTACAATTTTTTAACAAACATCGCAATTAAAGCCTTGCACATAATGTTTCTTAAGATTTGTTTAAGAGCATTATTAATAGTTAAGATAGTTATGCTATTAAAACTAAAAACAAAATTACATTCTACTTACATATTTCGTAATCAATACTTTTATAAAAAAAGCTATACAAATTTTTGGAGGCGTAGAAAATTTATGTTAAGATATTTTTAGCAACAAACTAGTTTGTGCTTATTATTGTAAATTTATTTATTGTATAATGTTTCTTAAGATTTGTTTAAGAGCATTATTAATAGTTAAGATAGTTATGATATTAAAACTAAAAACAAAATTACATTCTACTATCAATACTTTTATAAAAAAAAAACTATAAAAATTTTTGAAGGCGTAGATAATTTATGTTAAGATATTTTTAGAAACAAACTAGTTTGTGCTTATTATTGTAAATTTATTGGAGTACTTAGTTCAAATGAGCATATTTCTATATTTCGACTAAAACTCTTGATTGCATATTAATTTCCACTTAGCATGTATGCGTTTATAACTTAGTTCGATACAAACAACCAATATATAGTATGCTATAAGCCCATAAAGTTAATTAGGAACCATTAAAAAGTGCCGGGAAACCTATGTGTTTTGGGAAATGGTAAATTTCCGCGGCTGTGGTTTTCGCTATGTTTCCAGTCGTTTTTACTTACTACTTAATCTTTATGGGCTTCAAAGTACAAATCAGTGTAGATAATATCCATTGTTTTGTGGCGAGGGTCGAGCCCCAAAATGAACAACTAGAAGGCATTGGATTTTAGTCGCGCGTTGATTGGCATTGGGAGTGTACGGTGTACGGCAGAAGAAAAAAAGTGGACAACAATGGGGCTCAAGTATCGCAAAGTAAATCAAAAGCTTCACTAAAATATCTAAGAATATGATAGAGAAAAAGTATAATGTATATGTGTAATACTAATGCTACGGTCAGACCTGCACATAAACTGCAATTTATAAGTAGTATGCGTTGAAAATTAAGATAAATCTGGTCTGGCCATACCTTAGGCCGTGCTGTGCTTCCTAAAGTTTCATTCTCCAGTTGTTAAAAAAGTGTGCAATCATTAAACTGTTCAAACTAGTTAGTTAATTTAAAACGTTATTTGTTTAAAAAGTTGTTCTCTAATGTCTAGTATTATATATACGTATATATACAGAGATGTTCCTGATCTGTATCTGATTACGCACTAGCTTAATTTGTCTATTTGTTGAAAATTAGAGATTTTCCATTATATTTGTATTAAAGGCTAGATTGTGATATATCGTTTTCAATTTCCCAGAGCTCCGTTATCTCAGATGTCGAATTAGATGTTGCACTCATAAAAAATAAATATAAAGGCAGAGTGCCGTGGTACTATTCAGCCCCCTTCTTGCTATTCTGGTTGGTGCTACTTTTCGCTGTCGTAGTGCCACTCTATAATCGACTGCCTGAACCCGTAAATATTGCGCAGGAGGCAGAGAGACCTGGAGAGTTTGTGGCAGAGCGCGCCGAGCGATTACTATATAAATATGATCTTATTGGACCCAAAGTTGTGGGTAGCAATGCCAATGAAATTCTCACCATTGACTTTCTGCGAAATGAAGTGGAAAACATTCGCGCGGCAATGCGTCAAGATCTCTACGACCTAGAAGTGGATGTACAGCAACCATCGGGCGCCTATATACATTGGACAATGGTGAATATGTACCAGGGGGTACAAAATGTAGCCGTAAAACTAAGCACGCGCGGCTCGCACAGTGAATCATATTTGCTGCTAAACAGTCATTTCGATTCCAAGCCCAGCAGTCCGGGTAAGTTGGCAAAGAGTTTGAATCTGTCAAATAATATTGAAGACATGGCTACGGTGGTGCAGGCTCGGGAGACGACGGCACAATGGTTGTGGTGATGTTAGAGGTACTTCGACAAATGGCCATATCAGACAAGGCATTCGAACATCCAATTGTGTTTCTATTTAATGGCGCTGAGGAGAATCCCCTGCAGGCTTCCCATGGCTTCATTACCCAACACAAGTGGGCAAAGAACTGCAAGTAAGTAATACCCCCTGACTGCAATCAGTTCGGCACTAATCACCCCCAATAACATTTTTCCAGAGCTCTAATTAACTTGGAAGTTGCTGGCAGTGGTGGCAGGGATTTGCTCTTCCAGAGCGGCCCCAACAATCCCTGGCTAATGAGCGTACGTGTTGTACAATTTTCAGTTTTTAACATTGCTTTTCTGTTATTAGCACTGCGTGATGATCATCATTATAGTTATATACGTATACTGCATGCCGTATATAATTTATTATTTTACGATGATATTATCGAACCGCAAACTGACCACAGCAATAATGTTGCTATGTTCGAATCGGCGTCATATCTTTCATGTCAGCACAACTGCCGCAATGCTTTGAAGTTGTTTATCTTTAGCTTTTGTTTGCCATTTCAGTACTACAATAAATATGCCAAGCATCCTTTTGCAACCACCATGGCTGAGGAAATTTTTCAGGCTGGTCTGTTGCCATCCGACACTGACTTCAGGATTTTTCGCGACTATGGAAATGTGCCAGGTAATAAGTGGAAGAAATATACTTGCTAGAGCTCCATAGCCACTGTCATACTAGAAAGTTCAAGCGCCGCATGGATGACTTATGATATACGAACATTCTATATACTTGTATGATTAGCATAATGACATTAATAATTAACCAGTCTGTCCGTCTTTATAAACAACAATAACTTGGTATAATACCGACCTGTGGGGAAAACACAAAGTAATGTCAAAATCGACGAAATATACATAAGCCAAAGGAATTATTGACACAACAATGTTTTTTTTAGGTGAAAGACATTAGCAGGATAATGTGTACTTACACCGTATTCACGACTCGAATTGATACGCCTTAAACGTTCTATTCGTTTAAATTTCAGGTCTTGACATGGCTCAGATCAATAATGGCTATGTCTACCACACCATATTCGACAGCTATAAGGTAGTGCCTCGTCGCTCGCTGCAGAGCTCTGGCGAAAATGTTCTGCCACTGGTGCGAGCCTTTGCCAATGCCAGTGAAATGTACAACACCGAAGTAAGTTTGCTGATACACTCAGAATACACAACAATTTTGAAAATAATTTATTTTTACGATTTTCTTCAAATTGAGAAATCATAATAGTAATTGGAAATAATTAGAAATGGGCTTCATTTATTAATTAATTAATTTTATGCCAGTTGACACAAATGAGTCTCTCTAGTTTTAGGCGCGAAAACAATTTCAAAATATTAAACTGGCGTCAGAAACAAAGTTGCAGAAAGTATTATTTTAACGAAAATTATTTTGTGAAGCTTTGTTTATATATTTTTTTAAAACACATTTTTTTGGAAGAAACTTTCTGTCACTTCCGTCAGTTGCATTGATTTTAATGGGGAGATTATAATTTATTCTAATTTATTTTATGTAAAATAATTTAGATAACTATTAATTTCACAGGAACACAGCGAAGGACATTCGGTTTTCTTTGACTTTTTAGGACTGTTTTTCGTGTACTATTCGAAAACCACTGGCACTGCCTTAAACTGCAGCATCGGAGTATTGGGATTGGTCCTGGTTTGCGTCTCACTTTGGCGAATTGGTCGCGTATCCGATGTATCCCTGCCTCAAGTCTCTATTTGGTTCGGCATCATACTGGCCTTAAATGGTTAATATTTAGTTTTTAATATTGTTTTTAATACTAATACAATATTTGATTATTTTACAGTACTCGGCACCATACTCTGCCTTGGCCTGCCACTGCTTATGGCAGTAATGTACGACGCTGGCGATCGTTCGCTGACCTATTTTACAAGCACCTGGTTGATGATTGGACTGTACATAATTCCAGCTATTATCGGACTAAGTCTGCCTACCACACTTTTTTATAGTTTCAAAAGAAATGTAGGACAAAAGTACTTGTTATTTTCTGCAGACTGTAAAAACTTATGAATATTTGGACTTGCAGGAAAATATTAGTCACGACTATCATCTTCAAATGAGCTTACATGCACATTGCGTCATTATGGCGCTGATCGCAATTATATTGAGTGCTATAAGCCTTCGTACACCCTACCTATGCATGATATCCATGATTTTCTACTGCCTCGCCCTGTTGATTAACTTGCTAAGTAGCTTGCATGATCGGGGTAAGTGGTTTGGAGTGCATTTACAAACCAAATTATATGATTTACATTTAAATTCTTTTAGAATACTACTGGGCGTTGATTATACAAATATGCCATCTGATGCCCTTCCTCTACTTTTGCTATCTGTTTTACACTTTTCTGTGTGTATTTATACCTATGATGGGTCGAAATGGTAGCGCCATTAATCCGGATCTCTACATTGCCCTGATGTGTGGCGTGTGCACATTCTTCGCTCTAGGCTTTGTGGTAAGATATAGGATATATAATTGCAAAAATACATACATACTTACACTTATATATATTTATTTGATGTTTAAACCAGACGCCGCTCATTAGCATGTTCCGGCGTTCAAAATCCGTACTGGCAGGATTAGCAATTGTAATGTTTATATTTTGTATGATAGCTGTTTCGAGTGTCGGCTTTCCCTATCGTCCAAAAACTAGCGTGATGCGAGTTAATTTTTTGGTATGTCACGTATTGAAAGATTATATACAAGTATATTATATGATTTATCTTAAATACATATATCTTTCTAGCAAGTGCAACGCATCTTCTACGAATATGATGGTTCGGTTGTTTTGAATGATTCTGGCTATTACTTTGATTTTCAAGACAGACGACTAGCACATCCCCTGAAAGACACGTCAGTTGATTTGTCTGGTCTGGTCAGCATTGAAGCTGACTGCGATAAGCATCTGATGTGTGGAGTGCCTTGCTTTAATCATAGATGGTGCAAGGCTCGCCGACAGGGACAGTGGCTGCCCCGGGCAGAGCCTGTCCAGGTGCCTGGTCCCTCCTCCTTGGAACTACTGAACAAGACTATTTTAAATAGCAATGCCATAAGGTTTCAATTCGCTTTGAACGGTCCGCCTCATATGAGTTTATTTATAGCGCCTCTGAAAGGCGTTAGCGTTCAGGACTGGTCTTTCATAAGAAACATGTTAGACAATCCAAACGAATTCTCAGCTCCATATCACATTTTCTTTTCCTACGGCATCGACAATTCCACCTTAAATTTCCACATAGACTTTGAGGTTGGTATTTCTTGGATTATAATATCAAGGAAGGTGATATTTTATAATATGAAAAATATGTTTATATTTTAATTTTAGACAACAGATGGAAACTTCAATGTGCCGTTGTTTGAATTGGGCGTCTCTGCGCATTACGTTAGCTACGACTACGAGAGGGATGCGACCTCGCAAAAATTCATAACCGATTTTCCGGACTTTGTACACGTAATGGAATGGCCTACACTCTACAAGCGATACATATTTTAAGTTAAAACCATTTCTATTACACGTCATCTAAATATCATCACATTTCCTAAAAGAGATTATCACATTTTTTAAATCTAAAATATTTTGTTCAAAAGGTTTAAAAACACTACAGTTTGTGGAAAAATATAAATATGTATTTTAGTAAGCCCTGCCGCGGCTTTAATTTGACGAAATTCATGAACTCATTGTAGCACATATTTTGACATATTAAATAAGTCAACTCTGTATGCCTATGTTTTTGTTATTATATAGCAAATAAAAAATATTTATTACACAAGAAACTTTACTCTTTTTTATATCCATCAGAAATACTAGTAAATATTTCTCAAATATTTATTCATATAAACATCAAAGCTACCAATTAGCTGTTAAAATTATTGGCCAGGAATCTAGCTGACGAGCCCCGTTGAGTGGGGAAATAAAGATTTGTTTATAGCCACCATTTGAAAAACTTTTGGCTCATTGTACAAGTAGAGCGACCGCCGACGACATCAAAAAAACCTGCAGCTGTATGGCCAGTACTTACTTAACAGATGCTAAACTATAAATCCATAAATTCACCCTGTTTCTAACGATAAAAGCAAGCACTTATCAGCTAGGATCGAATTGGTATCATTCGGTGAATAAATGATGTTGAAACACTCTTGATCCGAGTTCCAAAGTTTGTAATCATTAGCAGTGCAGTCAAAAGAATCTCTATTCGCGTGCTGTGGGGTGAGATACGGCAGTACATAATATAAAAGTACCTAATTATACTATAAATTCTATAGTATTCATACGTATACATAAAGATATGAAATCACTGCTGATAAAATCGCTTTAAAATTGAACGCGCTGGGGACAAGTTTACTTAGTCGCTCTCCGTTCACTGCTGCTGATACTATTACTGTCGGACTAAAACTAAGCCACCAACATGGACAATCGAAAGGACATAGATGTAGGTCTTTCTAAATTTATTGGTAATCAATCGATATTATATGGCTAATACAAGTACTCATCAATTGTAGGGGGCCAGTGCAGTCATTGACATCAGTCAAAAGGAAAAGACTCATAAGCAACTGGATTGGTATTACTCCCCAGCACAGTTATTATTCTGGTTTGGATTGTTTTTTGCTGTGGTTGTGCCACTATTCGATTATCTACCAACTGCAATAAAAATCAACGAGGAGTCCAGCAATCCGGGTGAATTTGTTGCGGAACGAGCAGAGCGCATATTGCTAGAGTTTGATCGAATGGGGCCGAAGATTGTGGGCGACGAAATGAATGAGAAAATAATGGTAAAATTCTTGCTCAACGAAATTGAAAAGGTTCGCGCCGAAATGCGTGACGATCTCTATGAACTAGAGGTTGACGTACAACAGGCATCTGGCGCGTATTTGCATTGGGAAATGGTGAACATGTACCAGGGTATGCAGAACGTGATCGTCAAGCTGAGCACGAAGAGTTCCAATAGTACATCCTACCTACTAATCAACAGTCATTACGATAGCAAGCCGGGAAGTGTGGGTAAATGGCTTCAGATGAGCTTCATAAAAGGGTATTATAAGATTGTCCATCTAAGGTACAAGTGATGCCGGTCATATGGTGGTCACAATGCTGGAAGTGTTGCGTCAATTGGCCAAGTCAGAGGAGACCTTTCTACATCCTGTTGTCTTTTTGTTCAATGGCGCCGAGGAGCAACCGCTACAAGGCTCGCACGCCTTTATATCACAGCATAAATGGTCGGCCAACTGCAAGTAAGGCTTGAAACTACAAATACTTAAGCATTTACACATAAAACCTTGTCCACGACAAGGGCGTTGTTTAATCTAGATTCAGCTGGTTGTGGTGGACGTGAAATTCTATTTCAAGGCGGCCCGAATCATCCCTGGCTAATGAGCGTGAGTATTGTACACGTATACAGTATATATATATAGCCTTTAGATAACGCAACAGGTCTGTTATCAGTTAATAAAATGTTCGATATGGTTTGGATATAAAATAAAATTCTTTATCTTACAACCAATATCTTATCAACCTTTTTTTTATATATATAATAAATCTTTCGAGAACGCTGAACCCTATTTAACTATACTCGTATACTTGCAGCATTACAAGAAGAGTGCCAAGCATCCTTTTGCTACGACAATGGCTGAAGAGATTTTTCAAGCAGGCATTATCCCTTCAGATACAGACTTTAGAATCTTTCGCGATTTCGGACCAGTGCCAGGTTTGACTTCACTTTATATTGCGCTACTATAGGCTATAGTTGAAAAATGTCTTATCCAGGTCTGGATATGGCGGGTTCCTACAATGGATATGTTTATCACACAAAGTACGATCGCTTCAACATAATACCGCGCGGCTCTCTGCAAAACACGGGCGATAATCTTCTGTCTCTGGTACGGGGATTCACCAATGCCGAGGAGATGTACGACACCGATGTATGAGCCAGCAATATGTATTTCTTTAGTCATTTTGACAAACTCTTTGTTTTTCTATAGGCTCACTCCGAGGGTCATTCCGTTTTTTTCGACTATTTGGGCTTATTTTTTGTCTACTACAAGGAGGCAACTGGTGTGGCTCTGAATCTTTGTTTCTCCTTCGCTGGACTCATCTTGGTAGGTGCATCACTGTGGCGCATGGGAAAACTATCCGATATGACCTTTGGAAAAATTACCGGCATATTTGGAATGGTATTTCTGCTGGAACTGGCTAGTTTCGTTCTGGCTTTGGGTCTACCACTACTGATGGCTGTATTTTACGATGCTGGCGATCGCACATTGACGTATTTTAGCAACAAATGGCTTATTATCGGACTATATATTTGTCCAGCGTTGATTGGATTGATGCTTCCTATAACATTATACCTCACATTTAGACCGAATGTAAGTAGTCCAACATCTCTGAGATATTTAGGGGACAAATATATAAATGAATTCGCTGTTACAGGATAAAATCTCACATGCCTATCACCTTCAAATGGCTCCTCATGCCCACTGTGTTCTCCTCGCTTTGCTCTGCATTATTCTTACAGCCGTTGGTCTCCGTAGTATCTACCTCTGTATGATCTCTATATTCTTCTACATTTGCTCATTGATCATTAACTTGCTAAGCAAGCTGCACGATCGAGGTAAATTTATAATACTGCAATATTCCTATACTTTTGTTAACCCTTCTTTTATATTTAGGCTACATTTGGGCCCTGGTCCTAAGTATATGCCAGATAATGCCTTTCCTCTACTTTAGCTATCTGTTTCTTGCATTCCTCACTATTACAATTCCGATGATGGGTCGTAAGGGTATTGACGTGAACCCCGACCTTTTAACTGCCGGATTGTGTGCTTTGGGCACAATTCTATCAATGGGTTTTATTGTAAGTGATTTTAAGATGCTGTGTTTTCCCAAAGATACGAGTATACCGTTCTTTCACTTCTCCGAAGGCACCGCTTATCAACATATTTCGTCGACCTAATTCTGTAATGGGTGGCTTAGCACTCATTACATTTATATTCTGCATGATTTCCGTATCGGAAGTTGGTTTTCCTTACCGCACTAAGACGAGTGTCATGCGCGTCAACTTCTTGGTGAGTAAGAGATCTTACATCATCGCTGAATCGGAATTAACATTATTTGACGTTGCAGCAAGTTCGCCGAACATTCTATGAGTACGATGGTTCCATAAGCTTAGACGACTCCGGCTACTACTTCGATTTTCAGGATAGGCGAGTAGAACAGCCTCTGATCGACTCAATGAACCTTACTGGCCTAATTGGTATTGCGGATAAATGTGATTCGGTTATGATGTGCGGCGTACCCTGTTTTAATCATCGATGGTGCAAGGCCCGCTACGAAGGTCATTGGCTGCCCCGTGAAAAACCTGTTGAGATTCCAGGCACTTCTGTACTGACTCTTCTAAGCAAAGTTGTGCTCTCGGATGGGTTCACTGTACGTTATGTGTTTAACCTCGATGGACCGGCACGCATGAGTTTGTTTGTCCAACCCATGAGAGGAGTAAAACTGTTGAATTGGTCCTTCCTGCATGGAATGCTTGACCAGCCTGCCACGTTTAGGCCACCGTATCACATTTTCTATGCTTATGGAAATGATGACACGCCCCTCGAGTTCTTCTTTGAACTAACTGTGAGTAGACTATTATAAAAAATTCTTGAGTTCAGATCTAATTGGTTCTCAGAAAGACGATGGCAACTTCAATGAACCCGTCTTTGAGATTGGTGTCTCTGGCCACTACCTAAGCTTCCTACACAAGCGGGACGCTGAGAGTGAAAGGTTTATTGCAAGTTTCCCTGACTGGGTTCATGCCATGGAGTGGCCCGCATCCTATGAACGATATGTGTATTAAAATAACCTATGTAATATAACTTAAATAAACTCGTTATATTACGTATAGTATACTTATGATGTGCGTTCAAATAAAAGGTAGAAATACTGTAGGCTGAAACGTAATGAATACTATTTCTATAATAAGGTTGACATACACACGCCTCTACATTCAACAACTGACTACGCGTTTGGTTGCATACAAATTGGGTTAAGAATATGTCAATATACTCATGCATAACGACATCACAGTGTTTGTTTGAAAGTATTTCATTCCGCATCGTGTTGCGTGCGCGTTTCTTTACAATAACAAGTTTGGTTCGATATTGGTTAAATATTTGAACTAAAAAGAACCGCTCACACACAATTGTATAAATATACGAATGCAATACAGGTGTTGCATTCACCGGATAGCCATTTCATTCTTTGGGGTGGTATAAAACAGCCGCTCTGATCCATTGAGAGGCACACTTCGAGTTTAACGTTAATTTTAACAGCAACTAACAACCAGAAGCAATACAACAAAATGAAACTCTTCAGTGTCTTCCTTATCGTTATTTTGGCGATAGCCGGTACCATAGCTCAAGATCCAGTTACAACGACAGCTACTCAAACAGCTACAACAACTGCTCCAACTTCTCCAACATCTCCGACAACACCGCTGACACCACCCACACCTACCACGACTACCTACACCTACACGTACACGCCCACATATACGGAGTCAACCACGACCAAACCCTTCAAGCAACAATTCCTTTCGCTACTGTTCAACAAGAAGTCTGGTTAGGACTGCCGCCGAATCCGCACCGTGTCATTGTAACTTAATTGTTTTGTTAAAATGTGAAAATATAAATAAATGTAATAGTTTAAATTGAAAAAAAAAAACAAAAACAAAAAACGAAAAACACACACACTTTGGGTTTCATGTTTGTTCTTTCCGTTGCTTTCATTAAAGTTATCTCACGTAGTATCGTAGTTAGTTGAGGTTTGAGTGAGCTTATCTGGTTATCTTGTCAAAGGTAATTGACTCCTCTGTGAACAGACGTTGCATAAGAAATAATCCATTCAAATGGGCATTCATTACCACTCTTCATCAATCTTCTGCTAGTTCCTAGAATACAAGAGGATTGAACCGGAGAAAGAGCAGAGGTGCTATTTATAACACACAACTGGAAGACAACATATAAATTGAAGTTATCAAACAGCAACTAGGAAGCTGCGCATGTGCGGCAAAAATTAAGCTTTACATTTTTCTTACATAATTGAAGAGTCGCTTCAGAAATGATTCCAACCAGGTAGTTCCAAATGGTTTTCTCCTCAATATCTTATATCTCCAACAATTTTAACTTTTTTAATGAGACTAAGGCCGTTTTTTTGAGAAAATTTGTAAACATTACATAACTTTCAATTGTTTTATTTGTCACTTTTTATGTAAACATAAATAAAAAGCATTTATCTCATTCTAAGATTTTCGACTTGCCCGCAAAAAAAAAACCAAAAGTTACTCAAGTGACTGACTATGGTACAAAAGAACAGACCGATGGAAGGACCGTCATATCGTTGGGGTAAGGGTATAGGTAATTACCCTTCGGTTACAGAGTGTAAAAAACCATTTGAGTGTTTAGAATATATTCTCAAATTTTTCTTCAATTTTCAACTCAGAATGTCGAGAATTCCTTATTTTCCCATCGCTTTGGATTAGTCCACATACATATAGTAGTGTGCATATATTTTCTTCTTAAGCTGCTAGTAGTCAATTATGTATTTCGCCAGATAATAACTCTTCCTCTTTTTACAATATCATAACCAAATGAACAATTTTCTTAAAAGATAATCATAGAAAATTCTTTATGACCTCCTAAGAAATAAGAAGTGTATGATTTCTAATTGTTTTGTATGGTTATAATAAAATTGAATTTGAAATAATAAAATTTCTATTGTTTTTGTATTTTATAAAGCAAATAGAGGCCCTAAAATAAAATAATAAGTAATAATAAGCTTTACCATAAATCAAATCTAATGTAAAAATACGAAAAGCCTGTTTAATTAATTCATCCGTCGTTAATAAAATAAAATAAAAACCCTCATCCGCGTAGACCAAACCATTTGTTTATCGCGTGTGCATTCAGAATATTTTAATATTTGCCTCCATTCAGTAAAACGTTAAGAATTATTTTCTAAATTTAACTTAATATGCCAAATCTATAATTCTAAACTACATTTCTACTTTTTCAAGAGAGTTTAGAGAACGTTTTCCAATTTGCAATTTTCACAAAATCGTGAGTTGAATTGGGCTTAATATTCTTGTTTATCACCAAAGTGAACTTTAGCCCTTTTTTCAAGTCTTTTATCTATAGTTACTGAATTGAAGAATAGAAGCAACATATGTACATATATTGTGTAACAAATATTTGTTGCATGGGTCATCTAATTTATTGCAATTTTAAGAGCTTCAATTAAATTGTTAAGCTCATTATATACATTGGCATACTTTTATTCACATACTTTAGCATACACATATAGTGGTATATTATGTACATGAAGATTTAAATGTCTAATGATTAAGCTTAAGCTGACAAATTGTTTTGAAAAAGAATATGTTATATTACCTTTAGCATTGAGAGTTATGAATGCCACAAGACGAGTTTATGAGATGAAACTGCCCGTTTAAACGTTGGTAAGCATGCAATAGCACATAACTTACAGTACAGAGTGCTTTGAATGAACATGCCATAATAATGAGATAAATTACAAGTACATACATGCATAGGTATACTATATATTCGTTTTCAATTGCATTAGTATAAAAACTCACTGAATTACCGAAATCAATAAAGACTCTTGAATATGTCTGGGATCGCATTTAAAGTTTATAAGTCCGGAGGAGGGGCTTTCTTCCGTTTACTCATTCTTAAGTTTTCACTGTTAGGTGCATATATAATTACACACCGACAAAACAATGTCAATGTATCATGTAAAAGAGTCATTACTTCCACTGCCGCAACTTCACAAATGTCTGAAGTCAGTGAATACGAATACAACTAGAAGATTCAATCAATGCTCGGGCTTCTGATCTGTGTGTACGCCTTCGAAATGCTAGGTACCGGCAAGTGGCCAACTTTTTGTCGTAAATCTTTCAGCTTGGCCGACGTAGTGCTTGACTGTTGATGTTGTTGTTAGTGTCTGTGTAACTGTAAAGTTCAAGCATTTCTGCTGTTGCTACACTGTCTCAATCTTATGTACTCTTACCTGTTTTGCTATAAATATGCAAACATTTCGCGTTGGTGGCCACAGTTGCCGAAACGACGCTGACAACGGACGAGCTGACGCCCAAAGGAACAGAAGAAGAAGAGACGAAAGCTACAGATCAAAATGCAGTATTTAGTAAGCTCAGAAGCTGATAAGATTTAACAGATTTAAGGGAAATTTAATAGAACTCCTTGAACTTACTCGAAAGGTGCTCTTCATCGTTGCTTCAGTGCTGAGCTTGGGACATGCGCGACCGCAAGGACCTGCCACAGAGCCAATACCGATAATACGACAGGAGCAGGAAGTCAATTTCGACGGCTCCTATAAATACAGCTATGAAACGGGCAACGGCATCAACGTAGAGGAAGAGGGCTACCTCAAGAACGCTGGCACTGATAACGAAGGACAGGTGAGTGCACAAACGATGAGCAATCCAATCGTGAAGCGCTTGGGCAGCATTTGGCAATTTGCAACTACAGCATTAAGTGGCAGATACACTGGCCGCCCACCTAACATTAAACGTGTTTACTATAATGCTAAGCAGCCGCCAGCTGGCATTTGCAATGGACTTGCTTCAGCTGCTGCTGGTGCTGGGGCTGTTGATGATGCGCTCACGATTTCGTCCAGGGGCAGTCAATTGGTCTTGCTTTGAACTCGATTTTTTCTTCTATGTTTTTGTTTAGTGTATATATTTTTTTTTATTTAACCAATTGTAATCGATTGCAACTCTCATTTGTGGCACTATTTTCATGTTGGCTAAAGGTCGCGCAGGGCTTCTTCTCGTACACCTCACCCGAGGGTGTACCCATACGGATTACCTATCTGGCCGACGAGAATGGCTTCCAACCACAGGGTGATCATTTGCCCACACCTCCGCCCATTCCCCCAGCCATCCAAAAGGCTTTGGACTACTTAGCCACAGCGCCTCCGCCACAAGATCAGCCTGCCGCTTTTAATAATAATCGCAGAGGTTAAATGCCAGCTTAAAAGAGACATGGAGACATTAACAACAACAACAACACCAAGACTAGCCGCAATTAAATGCTTTGATGTGAAGCAGAGTTAACAAGTGGACCTACATACATATTGTATATAATCTGACCATACTAAGTAATAAATGTACATACATACATAGAACTCAAAGAGGAATCATTTATTAAGTTTAATGTTATAGGTCATTAAAACTGACGCCACTAGAAAGTTTGCGATTTCGCATTGAATTAATATTATTTGCATTAATTGAATATATTTACATACGCCTGGCAATGGAAAAGTGATGGCGACGTTGTATTGCCGTTTTGTGTAAAGTAGCGCGATTGAATAGAAAATATTTGTACCACATTTGATTTAAAACACTTTTGAAAACTGAAAACATTTCTATGTATATACTTGTACTTCACTGAAAAGAGTAGAAGTGTTTTTGGTGTAAGCTTGAAATGCACAGAAAGAAGAATATTAGACACCACTGGAATCGCGTCCCTCTATTCTAACTGTTTAATAAAATTTGAGCACAATTTGTGGAAGCACCAATTGAGCTGAGCTTATTAGGAAACAAACTAATGGGGCGATATTAACCAAACTTCTTTGCTTTAGACGATTTTGGCCAAACACGGAGGACCAATTTTGAACAGCTACAGGCATAAAGAATAGTTTAGGCAAATAGGAGCTATGGACAAATAGCCATAACCAGTCATACGAACTGAAGCTACCCAAAGTTAGGCGTATGTATGTACATATTATATACATATAGTTGAATCGTACAACATTTGAATGAATTAAGCGCGCAAAACAACTAGAATCAGAAAGTTTTATTAGTGTTGCAATTACTTCAGAATTCTGGTTCCGAATTATTGTTATAATTTTATTAAATTATTCCGGGAGCAGCTTTCAAATGCGACTTTTCGTTTTTGTAGAATCGATTGTTTTCCACTTGGCCTTAAACAGTCCTTGTTTAATTATAAAACATCTTTCAAACTTCATGAAGCTTTAGAAATATTTTGAAAAAAGTATAGCATACTTTTAGACGCTAGTTCATAATATATTACAAAAGCAGCTACATACAGTTTTAGATGCACTGCAGAACCCCTCAAATCAGGCTTTTTATGGTATTTGATACGCTGTTGTCCAAATTTTGCGTTGCCTCAAAGAAATGCCAGCATTTGCAAGTATCTGACCGCATGCAAAATACCATTAATCTTTATAAAGCTGTAGCGCATCTTCACCGTCAAATGGACAGCTGCTCAGCACGATGGACAGCAGTCGCACAAAATATGAATTAAACGCATCATAAACTGAGCATTTTAATTGATCAAGTTTCGATGCATGCAAATGCAGTTAGAGCAGAATCCATTAGCCTCGGCATACACACACACACACACACACACACAGACCCGATATACAAATTGTGTGTTAGTTGGTGCCTACTAGTGGGCGTCATCGGCTCGACGCGCAGATATAAAGCTGATGAGGCTGCTTGATATTCTCATTGCTCTTCAACTATGTGGGTGCATGTAACGGTAGGTTGAGCTGAAAAATCGAAGCGACGCATTAAGTTCATATCTCAATTTCCATTGCAGATTTCCAGCCTGTTGCTGTTGGTGTGTCTGAGTGTGTCACTGGCCCAAACCGATGGCCGCTATCGTCCTGTCAAGGTGGCAGCAAAGGTCGATGTGAATGATGGACGCTACCGGCCCGTAAATGACGGACGCTATAGGGGCGGTGGAGATGGGCGTTACAGTGGAGGCAACGACGGTCGGTATGTGCATGTGGATAATAAATACAAACACGACGATCGTCCTGGCGGCGCCTATTCAGGCGAAAGTGGCCGCTATAAGGGTGATAAAAACAGCGGCGGTAGCAGTGGCGCAGGCGGCGGCGCTGGTGGCAGTGCTAGTGGTGGCGCTAATGGTCGTGCTAGTGGTGGCGGCGGTGGCGCCAGTATCAATAGTGGTCGTGCTGGTGCAGGTGCCGGCCTAACCACATTGAAACCTCAACCACGACCCACAACCAGCCGTCCCATAGACCTGACTGCTAATCTACCCAAAGGCAAGGGCACTGGCGAGGGTGGCAACGGTTGGGCCATCATACGTTTGGAGGATACAGTGAAAGAGGATGGCTATCATTATCTGTGAGTAGGGGCTGGGCAATATCTGGGTATAGTGATCATACTCTTCCATCGATAGCTACGAAACTGAGAACGGCATTCTGGCCGAGGAGAACGGGCGCGTTGAGAAACTAACAGAGGACGATGGACTGCGCTCCAAGGGCTTCTACGAATACACAGGAGACGATGGCGTGCTCTATCGTGTCGACTATGTGGCAGATGATAATGGTTTTGTGCCCAGTGGTGCACATTTGCCCACACCACCACCATATGTGGCCAAATTGTTGGCCTACCTGGAGGCCAATGCGGCTAAAAATAAGTAATAGCCATAAGCATTACCCAATTCAGTTTCAATAAAAAGCTAAGGCAACAAGTCTATAATTGTGATTTTCCTGTTAGCCATCGGTCCAAAAGCCTTTTTGTTTGAATTTAACAAATAAAGCCTTCAAATTGTTGTTGAACAATGTCTTTACGATTTATTTCACTTAATTCACAGAAGCAGTATATTTATTTGCATTCACTTGAGTGTTGGCAAGATATGTTGCTGTATGTACTCCAGTACCTCGTCGATTGCCTCCTGTATTTGGGTCGGCTGCAAAGATAAGCCATTAGAGCAGCTGCACTCGTCTGCCTCCCAACTACTCGTACTTACATCCTGCCCAGCATTTGAAACCGATTGCTGTGGTGCGGGCTCATTTCTGTAGCTCACCTGGTAATCGTTTCTGTTCTGATCGTACTCGCCGGCCACACGTACCGTTTCAACATTAGCTTGCGGCTGCTTATAGTCATAAGCACTGGGACTCATTGAACTGGGATCGGAATGTAAGTCGGAATCGGAGTCCGTACCCCAGAGCTTGTTTTCATTAACGTAATTAAATTTACGTTGCTCCGATTCCTCGCCATCGCGCACCCACTCGAATTGTATAATCTGCCAGCCTGTGCCATTCAAGTTGAAGTCAATCATAAAGCGCAGATGATCCCTCGGGCCGAGCATAAGCTGTTGGGAGTCCGTTGGATAATCCCCTCGAATGTTCACATATGGCTCACCACGATCGCCATAGCCCCCATCATAGGGTCTATGCACGTGGCGATATTTCCCGCTAAGGTCTGGCACATAACGACCTCGTGTTGCGCCATGTAGCTCTGGAACGTAGCGGCCAGGCTTAGGGAACGGCGTAGGCAAGGGCGCATTTTCCGACTCCTCCGACTGCTGTGTCCAAACAAATCCTGCGCGCAGACCTAACAGCGCCAGCGCAACCAAGAAACGTGTAACCATGCTGAATAGCTCGATGCGATTGAATTGCGTCAATCGCATTGCTGGCCATTATAGTTGGAGGCGCATGCAGCTCATCGGCCAATAATCAGCGGAATTTATGTGAAAGAATTTAACTATTTAAATCCAATGAAATATGAGCGGGGCGTTGTTGATTTTATTCGGTGGCTTCGGCATCTGAGTCAACACTCATCAGCGAGCAATTAAAGTTGTTTGCATACTAACAAGCCATACAAATGACACCAAAGCAACTAGACAGCATCTCATTAGCTCAATTTAACTTTGTGTATCAGATTAGTACATTGTAGCTATAGGGCAGACATTAACCCCGTAGCCATTCCTCTGGCTCTCTGTGGAAGCGCCACGTGCTCTGTAATAATTCGCTCGACTTCTCTTTCACACCAAACGGCTCATTGAGTTTCCGTTCGGGCAATTAGTTAACGTTCTCCGGAAACTGTAGGATCAATGGCAATTAGTGGCATCTAAATCAAATTTAATAACAATAATAAACAATGAGACGATCATTTATCTTAATGAGCATTAGCAGCAACTGCCAATCAATCAAAACGGCCGGGCAACACACTTCAGCATTCATCAATCGTACCGCGAATTAATGTAAAAAAAAAAGCAAGCCAAACTGGACATTTATAAAAGTCAACTGTTGCCGTGCAATATTGGGTGAAAACTGGTTAGAAGATTCATTCAAATTGTTGCGTAAATTGAATTTAATATCTTGAAAATATGCAGTACCAAGACAGCCTAAATGTCGCAATTCTGTAGTCAAAGAATTTCGTCCAGCAGAACAAAAAGTACAAATTCTTGTAGATATCACATTATAGTAATATTAAGCTATAGCCATTGCATAATTGTAAGATATACATAGTAGTATAGAAAATTAGTAGCTAAATATTCTTTTTAACGTAAGCGCCAACAAGTGAATTGTACAAATGCTTATTTCATTCTTGTTCCGCATTCACGTGAAATATGTTACACATTAAATATTATATTGATTTTTTATTGATTTTCATTCAAATTTGAAAACAACATCGCTTCCTTATTCTGCAGTTAGGATTATCGATTCCAGATATTTACATTATTTTGGAAATCATTGTAAATGCTCCAAGCATTTTTTTTACCCATGTACATGTGTTTAATAAATAAGTAGATGTTTAAGATAATAAATATACAACTTATAAATATGCATGAACTGCTAATCAAAATTGTACTAACTTTATTTTGATATCTCCAATAGTTTGGGGGGTAATAGTTTTTCAAACCGTTATTTCCGCCTGTACACCACCTCCCCGAGCCGAAAACAAACCACTGGTAATAATGTTCTAATTAGTGTATTTATTAATATTGACACTCAACTTAGTTAAAAAGCTTGCTTTGTCAGCTTTGAAATTAAAATTTTTACGGCTAATATACAAACTGACATGAAGCTGCCACAGTAATAAGCCAAATATTGAGTTTAATTTATTTTTTAGAGCCTTGTTTTTTGCTTGTAAAAATCTGAAATTAATTTCATAGGATCTTGCGAAAAATTAAAAAAAAAACCAAAAATCACCCGCCCACGATAAAATTGAATTACAAAAATCATTTCTGTCGTCAAGTTATTCTGGTTTGTTAATGTTGTTTGAATCAGTTTATTGTTGTTTGTTGAACTTGGAATTATTACAAAAGATAAATTATTTTCGCATTTAATAATCAAATGCTCGCACACACGCGACATAAATAAAACAAGATGAGTGCAAACAATATTGTGCGTAATTTGGTGTTTTGCCTGCAATTAATAAATTGTGAAATTTTTAATTGTCCCCCGACTCACACGACTGGTTTTTATTGCCCATAGCGAGGAACTTTTTTAAATAAAACACTGCCTGCAAAGGCCAATTTTAAAAACGTATTATTGCCTACTTTTGTACATGTAGTGTGTATAGCTGTATCGGAACTATGGCGCCAGATTCCAAAATCCAAAAAAAAAAACCAATGCAGTTGACTGGCGTCTGAAGTTTAAAATAAATGAGATTTCTGCGGTTACGTCGCAAAGCCTAGACAGGGTTAATTTAAGTGCGACTGATGCTTAATCATTGCTTCTAAACAGTGCTGAAGCTCAATTTAATTACAATATTTATTATACAACAATCGCCTTGAACTCTGCCATACATAATTCCTTTGAGCTGAAGTCACCAGAGTCCAGGGCAACAACGCTGCCGACTTTTTTCAGTGCCAATGAACGAAAATAAAATTTGTGAGATTTTGTGCGAATACGATCCAAGAAGGCCGACACACAGCCAAATAATTGCACATAAAATAAATGTTGTTGTAGAAAAATAAAACCAATATCTCTCCTTTTCGCACTTGTCACAATGTGAATTTATTTTTATTGAATTTTCCCTTTCCGATTGTCAGCAACAAATTTAAGACATCTCCAAAAATTAAATAAATAAATACACTTCAAGACAAAATATTTAGACACATGTTTGCCCGAATTCATTTCAATGCATTACCTTTATTATTATTTGTTTCAAATGAGACATCTTCAGATAAAAACTCACTGTTTTTAGCTGAAACCAGAAAATATATACAAAAAAAATTTGGAAACAAAAAGATTCAATAACATAAACCCTAAGTGTTTTCATTGGAACATCAAAGAACGACCACTTTGGGTGCAAGATGCTTTCGTGTCAATTTGTAGCTCTTGTTACATATTCGAAATGAATTTAAGGTCCTCTAGTGTATATTCCTTTTAAATTATCAGTATAGTATAAATCAAGCAATGATGGGCATTTGTACAAAATCGAAATGAAGAATTAATGTAGTTTTTACTTCATGTGCGAAAAGTTTCTTTCTCGACAAAATGTCCGCATTTATCAGAAATTGAGCAGCCTTAGCTGAAAAATATACCAAAATCGTATTTTATTATTTTATTTTAACACTATTAAATCGAAGTATTATAGATTGACACATGATTCTTTTTTTATAAACCCAAACACGAACCATTGTAACCATTACTTTCCAGTAACTACTTATTTTTTCCCCATCATTGTTATAATCTGTTCTTATTTTTTTTCATATTAAATATTAAGTATTTAGCTTGTATCGAAACTCAATCATTTAAGTGCACATTAATAGAAAGAAAATATTTACAACAATTTTACATTTAAACTAACATTATTAGCAATTAAAAATATGATAAAAGTTATTCTATTGTAAAATGTACAATGATGAAAATACAAAAAAGAGGCGAATCCAAGGCACGATATCGTCTATCCTTCCATCTACCTATTGCACTCATGACGTCATAGTTTTAAAGCTAATATTTGCACAGAGTCAACGTTAAGTTCGACCATGTCAGATCACTTATCATATAACTGTCGTAAAAACGAAATAACTTTCAAGTATTGCTTGTTTATTTGTAAAGATATGGAAACCAAATTAAAACCTGATACGTGGAATCCAAATTGTTATCTTGAATAAAATCATTGAAAATAAGTAAGAATTGTTTTCTATTGAAAGATAAGATAGTACAGAAATAGTTAGTAGGGTATATAGTCATGTATATAGTATATATAGGACCATCAAATACAGTTTGGTTGTCTAAAGAGTGACTTAGGCTTTTGCAATACACGCTTAATTTCTTAATTCAAATATATTCCTTACAAGTAAGAATAAAATATTATTAGCAAAATGCTTAAGCACTTACGAATCGGCTAAGTAATTATTCGGTCATTAATATCTGTAGACCTCTAAACACGTTGCAAAGGGAGACATATTTTCTAATTCCAATCAATTAAATGCCATTGTTTTTGGTTGTTCATAACAAGGCAGCTTACAAAATTACGATTTGTATTTACAAACAACTTGCTTATTCAAATGATTCAAATGATTTCGGTGGCAAAACAAATAATTCCAATTAAAAGTGCAAATAATGTAATATATTGAATCCATTTAAAGAGCATACGTACCCCGCTACCAAAAGTCATCTATCTTTTGTCGCCAATTCGGCATTTAGTAACTAAATGGAGTTCAATTTATAGGCGGTGCACGTGTGATTTATTTGGAACGCTAATAAAGGTCCACAAAGTGCAGCGAACTGTAATTAAAACACAAAATGAGGGCGAGTGCTAATTAAAAGCCAGAATACCCAACACTTGTATACTTGAGTATACCCGTAGAAGGTGCGAATGTTACCCGAAATCCCACGCAAAAATGTTTTGTCAACTTGTGCCAAAATGAAATACAATTGGTTGGTTTTACCGACACAGGGCCAATAAAAAGGTTCTCCTGATTTGGTAGGTGAATGCACGAGTTCATTATGAATATGGCATCCTACCTATCCATCGAATATGTAATTGTCTATGAATATCGTGGTATTCAAGCATAACTTTCAAAATTCCATACATTTTAATTCAAATAGTTATGAGCTAATTCATCGATTATATTTCTTTAATGGTTTGAGATTCTTTCCGTAAGAACGTTTGGAGTAAAATCGATTTAACAACTTAGTTCATTTGTCAGCATGACTCAAGTTCATTGACAAAAAAAAAAAATAAATAAATAAATAAAAACCATAATAACCAAAACAAAGGAAAAGAGTCAAACGGAGCTGCTGCACACGATCGTTAAAAAGCAAAACCAGCAGCGCTCCTGTGGCGTGAAGATTGCGACGATATGCGAAAAATATGCAAATTATGTGTGTCTCATTCAAATTGAACTTGTAATTGATTCAAAAATCATCTTCTTTAAATATTTATTAAGTATTTGCGATTTTTATGGGAGCAACATTTAAACAGCTCGAATGAAAAAAATGGCCAAATGAAACGAAAACGAAAGCCCCCCAAATGGAATGTAATGATTCAAAAGGTAATACTGCACTCTGAGAAATTCGCTCATCTTTTCGGTTAGTCCACCATGAATCAGATCGAATCGGGTTCAGCGTACGACCTTTGAAGTTAAAGCTAAGCTGCACTGACAATGAGGTAGTCAACGAGAATGTCGCGCACACGCCCGCGAAGGCGTCAGCAGCCGAGTTGCTGTTGCCTCTTAATCACTGTTTATGTTTATAGTTGCAATTAATTCCCATAAGCCAAAAAACAACAACACTTAAAACTACCAAAAAGTAAATAAATAAATAACCAGGCAACGGAAAAAAGTAGCCGTAGTTCGGTTTTAAATATAAATCGCTGTCTCATCCTGTGCTTCCGAAAACAAAACAAAAAAAATTACAGTCTATAATGCCTCTCAACCGGCTTTAAAATACCCTGATAACAAAGTCAGGCACATAAGAGGAGCTATGAATTATGGTTTGTTTAAAACTTACTCTTTGTTAGCTTAAAATTGTATTTTCTTAGGCCAACTTTTTAAGAAAATATACAAGTATATAGCCTAAAAAGGGTACACTACAAACAGAACTACTTGTAGAATCTTCCTTGATCAGCGATGTTATAAAGAAAAAAACATAACTTCCTGTCATCGACAGAGCAGGACTGTCCTTTTACTTAAGTAGAATCTTTCCTTTAATATTAAGATAGTTTCGCGACTAATCGTAAGCAAATAGCAATATACTTGTAATAGAATTTGTTATTTTATGTTTAATAATGATGATAATTATTAACCAAACGATAGTTGACAATTAGAGATTTTCTATAGTGAAGAAATCAATTTCATTCAATAATATAATATAAAAGAAACTCTCATTGGTAGACCTCTTAAAAGGAAATTAAATTATGTCAGCAAATTCCGTACTAAAGCATCATCATCACCGAAATGCTTATCTTATTTTGACTAATAGTTTGAAATACTTATCCAAATCAGCGAATGGTTACGAATGCTTGGGACTCCAAATATTTATATTTATATAAATTCTCCAAAACAGATTAAAAGGTCAAATGTCTCCGTCTATAACACCAATATAATACAGTGAACGTGCCAGTAGACAAAACGCGATTCAAGCTTTCTCAATAAAACCAGACAAATTGTAGAATGGCTTTCACAAAACTTGGACTCTCTTCAAGGCTTTGCGCTCAATGCGATCAGATGAGACCGGAAAAAACAATACCAACCGCCTTTTAAAGGCTTATTATGCGTCTCCAGGCTGGGCTATCTATCGTCTGGGTGTTACAAACTTGAACTTAAATCAGCATACAACTTTCCCCCTTTGGTTATTGAGTAACGAAAAAAGGAAACGGCGGAGACAACACAGCAGAAAACCGTTAAGGACGCATTCCAACCATCGTGTTGGTGCCGGTGTCAATGTTTGCCATACAATTAAAATGATTTTTGTCAACATTTTTCTTAGCCGGCTGAATACCGGTTTTATGCTGAACCTCAGCGATATTAATGCATTTTACATTGCGGCAGGCGTGCGAGTGCGTTGTATGGTTGTTGTTCTTTTTTTCATTTTTTATTTCCGTTTGCTGCGTAATTTATGATTTTATTGCAGCACTTTTATGGCGCTTCCGAGTGCCTTGGATATCTTGATACAATCTGCGACTTTGTCATGAATCTTCTCAACTAGTTTTAACTGAACCCCGACAATTGGAATGCGTGAAGAGGTGTGAACGCAACTTGTGCCAATGGCCAAGCCCAAAAAATCAACGGCACTAATACAGCATACATACTACATAGCTTTAAAGTATAAAGTATTTGGATTTCTTGACGATCTTTTGAAACAATAACACTTAAAGTATAATAAAATCAAGAAACTTCACAGCTTGTGGCACTGATAAGTGCTAGAATTTCTGTGTGTTTTGATTTATTGCTTTAACACATCAAAGTTCTTGAAAAAAGGGGAGCATTTTTAACAACTAATATATAAGCTTTTTATTACTTTTCCCATATGTATTGAGGAAATAAGCTTTGGGCCGCTGAAGTTGCAAAGATTAAAATGTTAATAGAAACATAGCAACAGTATTATTATGTATTAAATTTATATAGTATAGTTACATTTAATAACTTATAACTTAGTCTAACTCCAATAACTTTGTTTAATATTCATGATAAAACTAAGTCTTACTACCAGCGAACAAGTTGGAAAATCTATACTTCTATGCTCATAATTTGGTAAAAAAAAAAAAATGGGTGTTTCGAATATGCAACTACTTATGGTATAAAAGATACAGATATCATTAGAATACAATAAACCTAAATTTGACACAAACAATATTGACTGTATACGGAAGCTACGAATGCAAAGTTTTTAAAAGGTGGTGAAGCTTCCATCATCTGAAACAAATTAAAACAGGTTTATCCAACATTCATCAAGAAATAATCAATATTATCTAGAGAAGTTGAAAATCTTTTATATAGTTGCATCGAAACTGTAAGTACAAATGCGCAGTTAAAAACATAATTAAGCCGTTTTTGATACTGGCAGCTACCATACAATAATGAAGGCCGGACCTTTCTGGAAGATGCTGAATTTCCCATACACTATAATTTGTTTATAATTGGCTTAATCAGGTTTATCACACATTCATCACTCAAAGGTCTTTATTATCCGGAGGAGTGGAGAATACTTGATATTGAAGTTCCCCTTAAACCATCGACAGAATAGTTATCTGAAACATATTGAAGAAAGTAAGTCACGCATCATTCGCATGATATTCTACAAATTTCAAGTTGGATGCATTATCTTTAATCAATTTGTTCAAATTATTTACAAATAAGCGGAAATGTACTAATTAATTTGTGAAACGTCATTGTTAAGCAGAACACTTATGATGTTGCTTGTGAAATAAAACATTGGGTTTTTTGATGCGCACTGGAAAACAAGATGCGTCATTCAAAATATTTGCTTACAATATTTGGTAGGAGACGGCGACACAATTTAATTAGACTGTAGCTACTAGAAAATGAAATATGAGCATCCGATGCATTATCGATGAATGTCAAAGAGCGTTAGCCTTGCATGTCGCACATGTACTAAATTATAAAAAATATTTAATTGAGAAAATATGTAATTATATATATTTTTGAATACGCTTTATATATTTGAGAAAAAACCAAAGCGATAAGCCAACGACACCAATACTCATACTAAGGAAAACAAAGCCTAAATTAGCAAATCAAAAAATTGAAACAAGAACAACAAGAACGCGTCATCTGACTAAACATATCAAAGGGAGCGTAGAAGCTCAGCTCGACATTAAGCGCAGCTCAAGAGATTTCAGTTTATTGATCTGAACTCAAGTGAACCGAACCCGAACAGAGACAGCAGCCAAAAACTGGCATTGCTCTCAAAGCTTACCGCATCTCTTCGAGTGTGAGAATCAAGGCGCAGCAGCGAGATGCGCTCAGCACACACGGCTGCGTCGCGATCTTGGCATATTTCTATATAAATTCGACGTACTTGAACGAAAATCAAACATTCCTGTTGCAGCCGCGCCAACAGAAGGATTACTACTTATATAAAAAACGCCACAGCTCGTCCAAAGCAACCAAAGGATAACTCGCAAAGGAGCAAAGTGTTCAAAAAGTTTCAATAAAAAAATTAAATTAAAATGCACGCGAAATTTAATATTTGTTTAGTGCTCGTGGTGAGTAAGAATAATTAATTGCGTGATGTGTTGTGCGTGAAATCAAAGTGTTTTCTACACTTCTGACAAACAATGAACTTGTGCCAGAAAAATATCACACATACGTCATGTAGGCGCCAAATAAAATTAGCAGTGATGCACAGACTCTAAATGTGATACCCCATAAAAAAAATGCATTCTTTCGCTTTAATGACACGCCTTAACTGTCATTGGCAGCATGCCACAATTATTAATTTGTACGATCTGTCGAAACATCTTCAGACCACCTTGCGGCCTCGTTTGTGATTCATAGCGAACAAATGAGTTGCCATTAAGCGTTCACTGTACTTGTCGCTGTTAGCCAGCTTAGAAATTTGTTAAATGTTGCCTTTTCATATGAAATCATAAAAAAAAATAAATATTTAAACTGCGTACGTTAAGCTCGCAATTTATTTTCAAGTCATTGTGCACTTCCTGCCAAATGTCGTTTTCTAATTGGCTTATGCAAATGAGCTAAAAAGCAACATCGGGCTGCAAAATGCTATAAATTGTCGCTATATCTGCTATATATGTATGTTTGTTCCTTTCCCACAGGCCGCCGTCGCACTCTGCCATGCTAATCCACTCCAGACCTCAAACGACAATGGCAAGTATACGGTTTCAAACTCCAACGACGGCAAATATCAATCCCACGATGATGGACGGTATCATCCGAGTTCAAATAACGAAGGTATTTCGAATATTCGATTACGTTCTTACTCGATGTGTTGATGTATACTCGTAAGATGTAGTTGCCTTGCGCTTCCCCTCCTAAATATTTGCCTCACAGCCAAATGCATGTTGTAGCCGCCTCTAACACAACAAGAACGCCAAGTATATTGATGTATACTCGTACTAATCAAAAATATTTAACTTATAATTAATATATGTATTCTATTTTTGTTGTTGTTCCTGTTGATAACGACAGAGTTCAAGTCCAAGGTGAAATTTCGTTTTTTGATAAACATTAATTATTAACTTTCGACTTTAAGAACAAAAACAACTTGAGCTCGGTCTGTTGTTGCACACTAACAGCAGGATTTATTGAACGCCATGATTTTAATATTTTAATTCTTATAGGACGCAGTGGTTCACAGGATGCTTTAGGTAAAATTTGTGGCAATGTGAAATTGTACAACAAATACAACAATTTATCTATTTCATTTCATTTATACTTGTATATCATTTACATATCAGATCTCCGTGCAATTTCACGCCGCAGATAGAGTATACGAAACTTACTTAGAAACAGTCTTAACGATTCATACTTTTCGACCATTTCCAATTCAGGCCTGTTTCGAATTACGCAGTATTTTAAAAGTTCGGCAAATGACAATGACTAATATATTTACGCTTAATTTAAAGAATTCTCAATAGTCTTCAAACAATATTTTACGATTTGAAACATTTCACATACATATTTGACAACAAATTCGTATTTTTCTTTATGAAAGTTTAAGAAAAGTGATTTTGGTGTTGAGTTTGAATTACTCGTATTAGCGATTATGTTATGTTTTCATCAAAAAAAAATTAAATCAATTCAACAGCAATTTTTAACACTGTTTTTAATTTCTGGAACTTGTATTCACAAAAAAATATTACATATACTTGTATTCACAGCAGTGGTATAATGTACATACAAAATCCTACACATCTTTCTCTCATCCATGTTGTTATCGTAATGTTTTGTTAGAGCTAACCCCTATTTACTTGTTAGATATATTATTTTCTAAAAGTAGCTGCATTGCACTTAAATTTGTTCTAGAGAGCATTACCAAAAATTACGCTAACAAAACCCACACACGCATTCTTTAACTCTTCACATTAACCAATTCTGACCCCAACTTGTGTTTGCACCTTTTTTCTCTGATCAGGTCGATACAATGAAGTAATACAGCCGTACCGTCACGTACATGACAATCGTGAGCTCGGACAATATCATCACATTCCATACCCCTATGATGGTGGCTATGGACCATATGCGGGCAGCAATCTGCCCTATGTTCATGATGACAGGCCCTACAAGTAAGCCAATGCAAGGCAGATTCATTTCATTCTGTTTGCCAATATTAACTCTATAATTTCTTTTTTATTTTCTACTATTCAGCCACGATCTGTACACAGTAAGTAACGCAGATTTTAAAGTACCCGAAATTCGCTTGGAATACGGCTTCCCCGATCATGAACCGCAAATCGCAACACAATCCCATAGCGCACAGAGCGACCACGCCACGTACCATAATTAAAGATGTACCACCACACCAAGAACCTCGAATCCCAACTTCCCAACAACAAGCAACACACATCAGCAAAACACGCAATAATCAAATCCTTGAATGTCTACTAAAACGTATCCTAAACCAACCACATTCCCAACATTCATTTCATTACAACTCGCTTGCTGCAAATACCAGTTTACAGTAAAAACAATCAATGAACCATCAACACCACGTCTTACCTCAATCGTTGCATTTTCACAAGCTACGCCCATATATGCATGGAATCCCACACTCACAATACATCGATCACAATGCACGCACGCACACAAACACACACACACACACACATCGCACACATCAATCAATTCAAAAGCACTACACACTAAAATGAATACAACAAACACAGTCCACTACCACCAAGAAGCCAACCACAACCACCAAACGTACCACCACAACGACGACGACAACCACGACCACGCCAAGAACCGTTCTCTTCAACTACGATGACGAGGGCCGCCATAAGATTCTGCATCAGGAGGAGATCCGCAAGAAGGACAAATACGATCATGCGTAAGAACTCATAACCTTTTATAACCGAATCCTATACTCACCGCCCACTTGAACTGTTCAGCTTCCTCACCGAGAACGGCATCTATGGTGAGGAACAGGCGAAGCTGCACCATGAAGGCGGCACCCATGCCAAGGGCGTGTATGAGTACACTGGTGATGATGGCAAGCTCTATCGCGTGAATTACAAGAGCAACCACGATGGCTTTATGCCTGAGGGTGAACACATTCCCACACCACCACCAATTCCGGAGGCCATTGCCCGTGCCCTCAAATACGTCGAGGAACAGCACAAGGCGAATGGCGACAAGCCGTTGTACGATCATCGTGGCTTCCGCATCAATCACAAGACGAAGGAGATTAAGGCACAAATCAAGTCGATGCACTTGGAGCGCATGCCCAAGGCACTTGGAGATCAACTACGCATGTTGGAGCATGAGGTGGAACTAGCCGAGGAGGAGGAAGAGCGTGAGGAGCGAGAGCAGCGCCAGAGGCTTCAAAACCAGCGTGAGGCCGCCAAATTGAGGAAGACCCATCCCACCCAAAAGCCACGAACCACACGCACGCCTTCGGAATACTACACAACTGAATTGGTCACGGACCAGGCGATTCTCAACTGAGCACAGAATAATTAGTGACAGTGCTTGGAATCGTCATTGATTCATTTAGTTCTCCACTCTGACGAGATCAATCATCAAACGAATTACGGATTTTAACCCATCAACGATCGAGACTTACCCTTTCCCGCACACATCCTCCCCTCTCCATGCATTTACCGCGCAAGCTGGTGAAAATATAACAAGCCATTAAAAAAGCAAAATTGCCGCAAAAAAAAGAACAAAAAGAACAAATTGTAAACAAATATTAATTGTAGTTTTATGTTATTTCGTATTTATTCAACATTAATAAGTTATTTAATTTGTTATTATTAAAAAATGCTTTTCTAAATAAACACAAGAATTTGTTACCCATAATTATTGTGATTGTTTTCAATGTTCAATGACATGCTGTCATCACCTTATTAAGAACAAATTTTGTTTTTGCCGCCATGACTCTTATCAAATTTAATTTGAAATACATATTCAGAAGTGGGTCAACGCCAGTGTAGCCTTCAAATTGTTAATTTTGTACTCAAGCTTATCAATAATATATTGTACATAAAGTATATATGGTACACAAGTCAAATCAAATACAAAATTTAATGCGATATCAAAAGGTTAATAAACTCATTCGACTGGCCAACTCAGACGGGAGCGTGTACATTTTTTACAATTGGCATACAATTATTAAATTTACTAAGTTAATAATTTTCAGCGCCTAAAATATGTTAAGCAATGCACGGCAAACAATTTCTAAACTTTAGTTTATCGATTCAGTAAATACCTATGTTAAAAGAATACGGTGTTTCATATGGAAATTTGTACTTAATACACTTTTAAATTATTAACCAAAGTACATGACATGTTTACAAAACATACCCACACACTCTAATTACAGTAAATAAACAAATTACAATCAAAATGCCTACAGTGTGGCGGCATCGATTGTATAGTTTTAAGATTATTCGTAGCACACTTTTATGCTGAGCTGAAAAATTGTTAAACTTTTAAAGGTGTTAACGTTAGCACAAAGCTTAATAAATGTATTGAAAACAAAAACAACTAATCATCAATAATGGGACAACCTGCGAATTAAACAAAATGGCGTACAACTACTCGATCGAGTTCAGGAAAAAAGAAAATTTTAGAAGATTTGTTTCTTATTACACATCGCACGATTTATTGTAGATAGGCAAAGTACATATTTTCCAACCACTTATATATCGTAGATCGCTTTTCACAAATACTAGAAAAAATATAAATTATTTTATCAAAAATTATTACATGGACAGTACCAATGACAGCGAACAGCCTTCATAAAAAGCCCAACTAAATGCTGTACGGCTGAGAATAAGTTCACGAGAAATAGTTTTGTTCCGCATAAAAACTTGGTCGATCAAGGCTGAGCCTGCAACATAGATATTATTGGGTTAAATCTTAACATGACAACAAGTTTTAGACGGAAATTCAACTTCTGCTGCTGTAATTTCAAAATTGAGAGACGTTTTTAGAGAAGTACTTTCATTTTACTCTTCAGCCTTAAACCTCAAGAAAATAAATCAATCGATGAATTTCTGTTCCTATTAAAATTTAGTTTTATTGAAGAAGGCTGAACACATTACTTGCATATTTAAAAGCACTCGTGGTAAGCTATTGTTTTCTCGTAAGCATTAAAATGAAAACTTATCATCCCTTTTAGTGTTTTGTAAGAGCCACACTGGCAGGTGCCTGTTGACGGGCATATAAGGCAGAGTTGACACCATCATCTAAAAATAAATCAATCACATTAGTGCGATGAAAGCAAAAGTAGTTTATCTCTAAACGCACATGTGATGATTGGACGATATCCATTAGCGTCGGCAACATACGTGACTCCCACACGCAAGCCCTCTGGTGTAATATACGAATAGGAGCCCGCAACTTGTTCCTCCTGCTCACCGTTGCCAATATCTAGAGGTGCACCACGCTCCTCCCCGTGTATACCGTTCTCAGTCTCATAGCTGTACGAATAGACGCCAGAGCCAGAGTTTGGAGTGTTTAATTGGTCCACAATCCGCGCCTGCACGTTGGCCACATTAGGATTGTACTGCTTGTAGAAGTTGTCATAGAAGCGGCGTTGATTGTACAAATCGCGATTCTTGTAGTACAAGTCCCTATAGTACGGGTTGCTCAGATATGGATTGTATTGGCGTTGGGCATGGCAAGAGATTAATACACAGGCTAGCACAATAAGGCAGGACAGCTGCATTGACGACAAAAAAAACACAATTAATCACTGTCAAATTTTCATAAAGCAAAAATACCATTTAGAAGTTCATTTACCGCTTTCAACGACATTTTGGACAACAAACGCGAGGAACTGCTACTGCTCCGATCTATGAAACAAAACTGTAACAATGTTTCAAGTGGTCAGCGTTTTTTATAACCATTGATTGCTAACCAAAGCAAAATCTTCTCATTTCGAACTATAAAACTCATTGTCATTGTCACAGTCTCGCAATAAATGCTGGATTTGCAAAATGAACGAAAACATCAGCTTTGTCTTAAAAGAGTATTTTCGTTTTTGGCAATTTCCGCTCAGAATTTTGATTGTTATTTAAATTACTACAAGACACTGAATTATCATAATACGTACATATATATACCCAACTACGTATGTTAATCTGAAAAGTATAAACAATTAAAATCAAGAGCAGGGAAAATGATACGCATTGAGAGCAGAGCTACCCGTTGAGTTTAAAAACCTTTGGCCAACACAATGGGCGGTATTCCACACATAGTTATAGATAAACGAATATGCAAATTTCTATTAGTTGTTAGCTTATTGGCCAACGATTAGCTTTAAGCTAATTGGTTTTGAAATATGAATCCCAGTCGGGCGCATTGGCTAGAGATTAGAATAATCGATTAACATTTATAGCTTACGGGTTCGGGTTTTCTGAAACTATTTGAAAACCGAAACATGATCATGTTTAGCAAATGATAATAGGATAGGTATTTAATATTTTGAATTTCATAGAAACAGCCTTAAATTGTATAAATGTTAATGCGGTGGAGGAATATGTATACTACAATTAAGTACAACAACTGATCGTTTATTAAAAAAATTTGTTATTATTTTAAGAATATCAATTAATTTTATTATTTTTATAGCCTGTACCCAAAGGGTGAAAGGCTATACTAGTTTTGTGCGAATGTATGTAACACACAGAAGGAGGAGTAACAGACCCCACAAAGTATATATATTTCTGATCAGGGTGACAAGCCGAGTCGATTTAGCCATGTCCGTCTGTCCGTCCGTCCGTCTGTATGAGCGCAAGGATCTCAGAAGGTACAAGAGCTAGAACTACCAAACTTGGTATCCAGGTTCCCCTAAGCCCTAGGCAGGTCAAGTTTATTTTTTTATTCTGATACACCCCCCCACTCCCCCGCAATTCGTGTTTTTTTATAACTCCCGTAATTCTTGGAATTTTCAGTTTTATCAGTAGTTACGTACAGTTAGTGCTTATCTGTCCGTATGCAAAGTTTCATCATGATAGGTCAATTCTGAAGAAAGTTATAGCCATAAATAAAATCGCTGCCCATGCTCTGCTTGCAGCGCTGCCCGCAGCTGTTATTGTTGTTGCTTATATATGTATACACGTATATAAACAAGCATAGAGAAGTAATGTAAATGTAAAACTGTACATAAACATGTCTTCTATGTATGTATTAAATACATTTTCTTAATTAATTTAATAAATTAATTACATTTTTTAAAGAGTTTAATTTATTTGAATATTTTTTTAAAATTTTTCTTTTTTGTGGAGAGTACTGGCAATTTTACTGTCGGGCTTGGTCGACTGTAGCGTTCTATCTTGTTTTATTTTTTTTTTTTCACATTCACAATTCATTTTTTGTCAAATCTTAAAACGTCAATTACAATGACGATCGGTTGACAAAATTATTAATGATTTTAATTAATTTTTATTGATAATGATTAATTAATAAGAAATCATGTTTATCTATATATTTTTGGTTTAAAATTTGTGTATTCACAATACAATACGAGTATACTATACTATATTTTTTTTAGCAAAAGTAAATGAGACGGCCATCCATTCATACAAATGCACACTTACTATTTCAATAACGGTCCCTCTACTGTGAAACTAAGTTAAATTATTAACTGAAACCAACCAATTATTGCCTTTTTAATCTGTATTTATTGCCTTCCTATATAGAAACTATGAACTATTCCATAAAAAACATTCTTCGCAATGATTAGAATTTTTACAACTCATTAGCTGCAATAAATCCCTAGTAGGCATAAAGGAATAACATAAATCAAGATTTTGGAAACTGTTCATACATTTTATTGCTTCCGTCAAATTAGTCTTACTTTAGTAATGGCGAATCGCAAATTTGCGTTTTCATAGGGTAATTTTGTATTCTTATACCAAAACAGACACAGCGCACGACCGATTCGAGCCAAATCCAACAAATGAGCTTAACGCCCATTCACGTTATCTGTTTCGACAACTCACAACAACAACATTTGAATTAGGTAGCCAACTGCCTACCAAATCGAAACAGAGCACCATTCAAATGCAAATACCGAATCAACAGAAATTCAACTCAAAACATTCCCCTTATTGAAAGATGAAGAAGCACGCCAATAAATGTTGATCTGTTTTTTAGATCCATATTATCGTCACTATTTTATGGCTCAGTATCAAAAGATAAAGCAGAGCTAATCAGCATGCGGCAAGCAGCTAGACTAAGGAACTGAACGCGTTAATAAGATTAGCTGCTGTCTTGTTTTCTTGTTAATTTACATATCACAACCGTCGAAATGTTTGGTTTAATTAATTGATTTGAATTTATTTTCGCATTGTGTTTGCGGCTTCTTTTTTGAAAATGCATAAATATTCATTTGAAAAATGATGGCACATATATCATATATTTATGTTATCTAGCCCAGCGGCAAAACCAGTTCGGTTAATGGGTGTTGGCAGCCAGTGGATTGTGGCTACAGTACAAGATGTAATTATGACCACCTCTCATGGGCTTGGCAACTTTTTTAACAATCGACACGCGCGGATAAGTTTTTGGAGGCGGCCATAACAATTTGATTATGCAAAAGTTTTCGATTAAGATATGAACACATTTTAGCGCCAGTTGATGTTGTAGTGAATAATGATAGAAATAATAATTTAAGAGTAATCTATTTGTCGGCTTTACTTAAAAAATACTATTTATGTATGTTTTCATTTATTAACTTGTTTACCTTTTATTCAACTGTGCATTTAAAAAGTGGAAGTCAATTTTAACGACTAAATTGTACATTTATCTTATTAATTTTTAATTCTTATTATATTCGAAAATATTCGCTTCCTCTATACAATTTATAACAATGCATATGATAGAAACATTATAGAAACAGTGGCTTCGTGAATTGCAACAAACCTTGCTGGATACTTTATGATGGTAAAGCAGCACCAATTTCTACAGCTATTGATGTTTAGCGATGTATTATATATTTAGGTTATAAGTAATTAGGAGCGCCAACGAAAAGCTTATATTGTAAAATATTTTGACTCCTTTTCAAATTAAATTCAAATTACAAATTATTATATAATGGTGGGGAAAAAACAATAAAAAATTTGAGCAGATTTGACATTTTACTAATGGTGAGAAAAAAATAGCAAACCCTGCTTAGCACAAGCTTCAACTAGTACGAGTATTGTCACATGTGCTTGTCTAGCTCTTGGTCCGTAAATTAAATGTCTTATGTGTGTGTCAGTGACAGAATCATGATTTGCATTAATTTAGCATAAACCGTCATAAAACGGTACGCCCACGTATGCCAATCCCACTGTCATTCAATTCTTCTTGCTAATTTCCATAGACCACATTAATTGAAGACTAACCTTCTGTGGCGATTAGCTGCAGTTCAAGTCGAAGATGCTCAGACGGATTAGCATCGATGCGACATGCATACGACTATACCAAATGCAAAGTCAAATCTATTACTACAGCATCCACAATGGCAAACTTTGCACCATCCAAGATGCAAAATTGTAGGCTAATTCTAAAAGCAAACAACTGGCGACGTCATGAAAAATGGTGTTAATTACAAGGTTAGCATTTATTATTAGAACACCTTATGATAATTATTCGATGTAGTTGCTCTGGTTACAGCTGCGCTTCCTTTGTCTGTGTGTATATAGCCGAACCAGTTTCATACCGTCGTTCTGACCAAAGCACATACAAATTTACGAACGAGTAAGTGTGCTGCTGTTTATGTATAGATATCAGTTAGGTAAGCATATTTTATATGTATATGGCTCAGTGTCGCACATCCTTGACCATGAAATATATGCCAATGGATTTGTCTCTCTGAGTATATCTTCGGACAATTCACTTTGTTTGCCTGCGCAAATCTTGTGCAGTTAGCAACCAGCCATGGGACAGCTTACTGCTGCAAAGCTGTAGTCGTGACCAAACCGCTGACATTTAAGACGACCAACTAGTTCGCTATTTTAGCTGCTGCTGCTGTTGATGCTAGTGTTGACGCTTCTGCTATTTGCAATTATTTATTTATGCCTTCATTGACATTAGACGTTGCAAGTGGCAACTGGTTGGCTGTGCCAGTTGGCATCAAATTGTGTCCAGCAGCATCCAGTGTCTAGACGACAAATTGCAAGAACCACACCACCTCACAACACCAAATGCTTGGGTTACGCAATCAAAAATCAATATGGGGCCCAGCCAAACGTTTTGTAACTTTGCTTTAAACAAATTGCGGTATGCGCCATAAAAATCTCACGACCTTCAAAAGCCAACAAGAAGACGCCTTTAAAAAGCTGCACAGCTTGTGCCAAGCAACTGGCCACAAGTCTAGAACTGGTTACAACTTAAAGACGAGCATTTGGTTATTTTATGAACAGCCAACAACTGCTGACATTTTGTGCAATTGGACGCCTAATTAGCAAAGCCATGCGTAATATTTCAAGGTTTAAATCAAATTTTTATCTCTTATTATTCATAAGATTATGATAAATGACAAATGATTTTGAAATTCTTAAGATACTGTTCTACTATTTTTATATTATTGCAAGTAAATTTATATATCATTGTCAAAGGAAAGAATTTTCGCAGTTTATATAACAAATTAGATACGATGGATATTGTGGTTAACTGCAATATAATGGCTTTACTATAAATTTCACATTAAAATTGGCATAGAAAAGCAAACGGAAAGCTTTTCGATTTTCAAGAATAATTTTAAATAAATTTATTTGAAAAATCTTTTTTAGGTTTATATTGTCATATTTTAATTGGTTTTATTGAAATGTAAGTTTTTCTAAGTTGATTCTAAATCCCATTAGCCCGAAGGCAAAGCTCTCTCTATCTCTCTCTCTCCCTTTTTGTCTCTCTCTGAGAACACCATTTTAAAACGAACTCATAAAAGAGTATAGCCGAAATTGACTAATTATTATATATAAGCTAAGCATATAGATATGTAAATAGTTCTTATCTAGTACATGTGTATTAGCCCAAATCAAAAGACTTAGGCAACGAACTTGGTGGCTGAGAACTTTAGTTTCGCGCAAATTAAAATTAAGAAAAGGTACCTATAATAAATATTTAAATGAATGCAGTTGAATGAATGTCTTCATAATTACTTACTGCTTTACAGTGGCAAAAATGAAACACAATAAACAACAACAACACCAACAACAGCCGCATCAGCAACTATACAATGTAACTTGATTGCTAGCCACATTTTCAGACTTCGCTAACTGAAAATTGTTTGCTGGCATTGTTTGTTGCCACAGTCTGAAAATACAACACCAACAACAACAACAGCAACTACTACGAAGCAATGTAGCAACAATCTTTGGGACAATCTTGTCACGAAATTCTGTCGCCGGTACTCTATGGCCCCATCTGCCGTAATGCCGGCCCATGCTATTCATTAGACGCGCCTATATCGCACAGTCGTCTTAGCGTTTAGAAATTTTTGGCATTTTGACCTCAGAAAAAACCAAAAAACAACAAATACTGTGCCCTGGGCCAAGCAACTGACTCGACTCGAAGTCGGCAGTGCTATATAGACAAGGCAGCATGCGCGTCTTTTGTTGTTTGACTTTGATCGCAATTGGCGATTAGAAGGCACGTATTTAAATGCAATTTTTCACTCGCCCACAGATTGTGCAACTGGGTGGCAACGCCTGCAGCCACAATGATAACAATCGCCTTCTTTAAAATGGGCCATCACTTGCGGCACAATCTCAAGCCTTCCGTTTCTATATCATTCTTCGCACCTGATGTTGACAAACGGAAAAAATTACGCATATTGCCAAACCCAAAACCCAAAACTCCAAACTCAATACCCAAAGCTCAACACGCGATGCACAAACAAAATTGTAAAAAAAAGCAAGCAAAAGGGCACTTCAATTGCCAACTACCCGACTTGTTTTCAACTGCAGCTACCGTGTACTTGTTTTAAAATAAATTTAAAATGCTATATTACGTCGCAAAATAATTGCATAAATTATTTAATTCTCAATTGTACAGAGCAGCTGAGCAATTGGACATTTAGTATGGCAAGCCAGAGGCGCGCGTCTGCAAGGGGTCCAACACATATTTATTTAGTATATACATACATACATGTTTGTTTGTTTCAGTTTTTAGCTTGTTTTTTTAGCTTTACTGTTGTTATTCTTGTTGTTATTGTTGTCTTCCACTTGCACTTTTGTTCGCTGCAGGCAAGAGCAGCGCCAGCGACAGCGTCAACAACAACTTGCTCGTCGGCGTCTCATCGTTTCAAATGCTGCTAACGTCGACTTCGACGCCAGCGTCGCTGCAGCTCTTGTCGCCGTCTAAGGTGTTGAATCTTTAGTGCTTTTTTTTATTTTTTATTATTTTTCTCTACACTGTGTTTATTTTCCATATACTTAGCTTTTTGCATTTTGCATGCTTTGCGCTCCGACCGATGCATCTGCAGCGCTTAGTTTTTCGTATAAATAGCCACACTTGCCGGCATTCGGCATCATTAAAAAATCTCCAATTCAATTGACAACATCGTCAAGATTTGTGTAAAGTGCTTCAAGCCTCCTGAAAGGATACGCCTACATTTGGATTACAATACTCATTTGTGATTGCGCATATTAAAAAATGAGAAATGTAAGTGTGTGTTAATCAAGTGTATGGGAGTTACAAAAAAGTTCCTTAAGTTTATAAAAAAGGGTTTGCAATACACTGCTATGGTCAAACAATCAAATAATTAGCCCAAAAAATTGTCAAATTTTTTTTAAAGAAGCTTTATGAATGTAGAAAAATATCCTTTTCTGTGAATTAGTATTGTTTGTGGAAGAAATTAAAATAACTTCAACACATACTTTTTAGAATTGAACGAATTTAAGAGTCATCTATTGGTCCGACCATAGCTCAAATAGTTAGAAAATCTTTCGTCATCTGCTGAAACAAAATAGTCAACAAATTAGTTTCCATTTCAATTTTTATAGCCGAACCACTAAAAATTTTAATTAGTTATCCCACATTGTTTTAAGCTGGAAATACCTAGCTAACGTAAATAAAGTCAGAAACTCCCTTTCAAAATAAATACTATATATACGGGCAACTTATATCACTTTTTTTTAAGAAATTTCCTTATTAGCTAATTGTTTTCTTGCAACCAAAATTTCGATTACTTAAGTCAGTGATTAGTTATAGAAATCTATAAACATATTAAATATATTAGAAAAAACCTGTTTATGTACGAAGAAGAAAAATTCGAATGGCAGCTTAATTGGTTAATATAACAACACCATATGATTATTGGAACTCACGATATGTTCAGTTTCTGGGACCAATTAAAATATAGTGGAAAACAAAAGCTTTATTAGTTAGCATATCCACGTATTCCAAATACTTCGTGATTTTATTGAATGAGAATGAATCACAAACTATTTTTATGAAGCTATACAAAGTCGTACATTTACTTGATATTAAATGTCTACAAGCCACAAATCAGTACTGAATTTATAGAGAAATATATATATATATATCATGTACATTACAGTCGTACTCAAAGCATTAAGCTATTATTGAAATGAAATTTGTTTAGTCTTGCAATATTTTCATTTATTCTTTTTACTGGCATATCTTCTTCCCAATATTTACTTTATTACTGAACTGAAAACCAGACAAAATACTATTTCGAAATATCTGTGCATGAACTAAATTGGCGTATCCTAATGAGCATAAGCTTATGAGTCGGCGCAAATCTTAAAAGTCATAAACGTAAATCAATTTTAGCTCACAACTTTAAGCATTTCTCGTAAGCATAAAAAATTGAACATAAATATGAAACTTGTTGACGAAGGCAAGAGGCAACCGCGCTTAACCCTTCAATTTTAAGTGTATTTCCGCACTACATACCAGCTCGTATAGAGATACAAAAGAAACACCCACACAAAACCAATTAAATGTCTACAGAGCTGAGCACTTAAAAGGTTCGAAGCATGCACCCCGCATGCAGTGCTAAAGGTCAGACATACGACTGACTGCACAGCATTTTGACCAGCACAAGAGGCTGCCAAGCCGCTTTTGCTTTTGTTAGCAATTTTAAAGACCAGCATAGACGAACTGCAGGCGCTGGATGTTACGCTCAGTTGGCAGGTGTCTGTCTGTCTGTCTGTGTGTTTCAGGCCAATACATTAAAGCCTACTTGGCGTTGCAACGCGCTGGAGCAATTGCCAAATAGTCAAATGGGGCGAAATTGAACGACTGCAGCAGCAGTAAACAAATGCCCAGTTTCGCAATGCGACATCGCTATTCGTAAGTACACAAGTGGAGGGAGGGGACTAACAAAAACGAAAACAACAACAACATACTTGCATAAACTCACACGGGATCACGCCCCACAATTTTCCATGCACTTGAGCGGCAGTGAGTTAATCGATGGCATTCATGAATCGTCTGATATGTGAAAAATATTTAATTGGCTTCTATTTTGCGACCTCAAACACTATTTACGACGCTGCAGCAAATAACATGGCCACCAGCCATAAATCAGTGGGAAGTAAACAAACAAGCAGAGGCTACAAAATAAAAGCAAGTGAACTTTTAGTGACGTTGTGTAGTGATGCATTAAGTTAACCCTTAGGAATAAATTATATTGATTGCTTTAATTAAATCCATTTCAGTTAGCACTTTGTACGCTCGTGACTTTAATGGTCGGCTTGGCGGCGGCAGCGCCACAGCGAGCTGAGGAGCCCATTGCGATTATAAGTCAAGAATCTAATATTGAGCCAGATGGATCATACAACTATGCGTAAGTCTGAAATATTTAATAGATTTTATGATTTCGTCAAATTAAGACTTCTAACATTCTTAGTACTAAGTGATGTCGATTGCAGAACAACAAAAAACAAAGCATACTTTTAAGCGCCTTTTAAAAGCATTGAAACTTTATGATGTGGCTGAACTACAGTAATGGCCAAATTTATTAGTATATGTACATAACAAGCGAGAGAGAGAGAGAGAGAGTATATTTAATTTTAAATTAATAACTTTTAAGTTTTCAAAATTGAGTAGGAAATGTAGAAGCTCCAATCCAAGGCTTGAAAAATAAAATATAAATTTTTTAAACCAAATGCATGCATATTTACTAATCCCTCATGCATGGCTATTCAAACGTAACTAGTTTGGTATGCGGATTCCCGCAGAAAAGTCCAAATTAAATTAAGCACTTGACGCCACGTATCGTATAATATTTATATAGTATAATATCATTTTGCACAGATTTCAAGGTTACTTTGATTAATATCAAATCTATTTTCATTATTGCTTTGATTTATTAGCACAGCGTTTGTCAATGACAAATCTTTATTCTGTGTACCAATAAATACTATACTTAATTTGTTCAAAAATGTCTCATAATAGTCTCCGTATCTATACATTCTTCCAGATATGAAACAGCTAACGGCATCAAAGCCGAAGAGACAGGCACATTGAAGAAGGCCACCTCGGCGGACTCTAACGATGTGATTATTGCCAGGGGCTCTGTGTCCTATACCTCACCCGAAGGCAATCTCATAACGCTCAACTATTCTGCGGACGATGAAAATGGTTTCCAGCCTCAGGGTGATCATTTGCCCACACCGCCTCCAATTCCTCCAGCAATTCAAAAGGCGCTCGACTATCTGCTGAGCCTCCCACCTGCAAAGCGTCGTTAAGGCCGCAACGGTAAACAAACGATGATACTTAGAAATTGACCTTGGATAATGATTTTTAGACTCCACTATTAACTCGAAAACATGTTGCTCTGTTAGCTGGAAGCTGTTACCTTACCTAAAACCGCCGACAATTTACACAGCCACCTACCCACATATAGACACTAATAGGTTGCAACACAGACGCACCACTGACTGAAGAACGCAAAACGCACTTTTGAGACAGGCCCAATATGCAGACAAACGCACAACAAGCTCAAGCACACACACATACTCGTACACACCAGCCATTTGACAATTACATGGCCCTTTATTTCACTTCCGTCTTGGACTCTCGTCGCTCTGTTTCCACAGCTACGTATTAAACCACTTCTATTTCTACTTGAACCTCCTCTTCTTCGACACCTACTCACTATTTACTCTGTTCTTAAGATATTAACAAGCTCGTTTAGTCGTCGGAACTTTGCCATTTTCGGACTCATGTGATACCGTCGATTTATCAGTAAATTCAAAAAAAAAATTAAAAAACATTAAAAAAAAAACAAAAAATAGATACAAAAATGTTACGCGCAGCAATTACTGTGCAAATAGTCTGTAAATGTAAATCCTACATACACGTTATAATATAAACACTGATAATGATCAATGTACATACTTACTCGTATTTGAATTCTGTTGTTTTGTACTTGCTCAGTTATTGTAACGCAAGAGGAGAACTATTCAATAATTCAGTTAGACTTAGCTGCAAATGAAGAAATAAAAATTCTTTACAAAAAAATATTAAACAAAACTGCTGTGCATTTCATAGTTGAGCATTATAATTTATACTTCAAATACAGCATACAATAAAGGCCTTTACTTTGAAGCCACCAGGACTTAAGCATAATCAAGCAATGGAATGCTTGTCCCACTTCAAACTATGACCGGGATTGTGTCTAAGTCTACCTGTGCGCATTGCAGACTGAAGCCAAAAAGTCAACGATAACAGCAACTGATGGAATCGCATGAGCGGAGATAACATTTATTTCGGCATTAGGACACTAAACGCTAGCCGGATTTAATCGCCAAATTTGTTTTACAAATTCCAATAATTATGAGAGTTGTGAAAAACAGTAAACAGCAGGAGAATTGTTAAATGTATCGCGAAAAAATAATCTTTTCCTTTTTTGAACTTGCCGGTAGCTGGATAACAAGTTAATTCAGTTAGTTCATCCTATTACCTGAGATCCTTGCGGTCATACACACGGGTAGGTTAACAAGAAAAAAGGCAAATAAAAATTGTTCCTGGTTTTGGAGTATAAGCTGTACGAAGATAATGTATAGTATTTGTTCTTATTTTAGTAAATTCTATATTTGATTTATACTAGTAGCTCTGTTATTTTACAAACTCCATACACAAGAGATTAATATGAACTAAAATCTAATATATAAAAACTCTCTCGATAATCTCTGACAAAGAGTTAAAAAAAAGGATAAAAGGCAGATGAAACTAATGTTCTTGCCTTACTTTTAAAATCATAGATGAGTTAAATCCAGAAATTTAAATTTTATAGCCAAGAATATGATTTAAGATTAATTCGTGAGCCATTAAACTGGAAAAATTTAAAAGTCTGCTCCATAAATATATATTTAAATAATTAATCGAGTCAAAAAAATCTGGTGCACGAATGCAGACAGATTTATGAAATTTTATTCCTAGCTTATAGTTAACAAGTTATAACAAGTTAATTCAGTTAGTTCATCCTATTACCTGAGATCCTTGCGGTCATACACACGGGTAGATTAACAAGAAAAAAGGCAAATAAAAATTGTTCCTGGTTTTGGAGTATACGCTGTACGAAGATAATGTATTTGTTCTGATTTTAGTAAATTTTATATTTGATTTATACTAGTAGCTTTGTTATTTTACAAACTCCATACACAAGAGATTAATACAAGTATGTACTCAAATCTTATATATAAAAACTCTCTCCATTATCTCTAGCAAAGAGCTTAAAAAGAAAAGGATAAAAGGCATGTTCTTGCCTTACCTTTGAATTTTTCATTGTATAGCCCAAAAAGGACCTTTGATTAATTCGTGGGCCATTAAATTGGAAAAATTTAAAAGTCTGCTCCATAAATATATATTTAAATAATTAATCGACAGACAGATTTATGAAATTATATTCCTAGCTTTTAGTTTTAAATCATATGAGAAGACACCCTCGATTATTATTTTTATGCCTGTTTGAATTTAGATACAGCTTTGAATAAATGTTGTTGTTATATTCGTTGTTTAGCTTCATTAATCTCATTAGCCACTTGATTCCGGTATATAGTGAGTGAGAATTCGTAGCTGAAATTCAAGCCACAAAACGAGATTAAATGAAGTTCATTTGCCCTGTATCTCTAGACGCTGTTTCACGTCTATTCTATACTAGTTCATTCGAACTCAGCTGGCGCCCATGTGTAGCCCGTTAGAGTACAAATTTATAAGCCTAGATATGCAAAATACTGCCCCAACTTGTCGGCACAAAATTAAAACTGGCGTCACTGGTTAATACATAACACCATAATTATTCAATCGCCATATGTACTGTTAAGCTAACACCAAATCAGACGCACATAATATGAATATGTTCATAAAAATAGAATTAAATGACATTTTAATGCCCAAAGAAGAAAAGACAAATATATTTTATGCTAATTTGTTGCCAAAATGATGATCAAATCAAGCGGTCAAGCTTGCTAGAACAAGTACCATATTTAACTTATATTCTCATAAATAATAGCCCAACAATGTCCAAATTGTGCTTACTCGTAAATGTTGGTGAACAACTATGCGACATAGTTCGCTGACGAAGCATCTGCCCGGAGTCTGGGCCTTTTTTCACACCCATTTGCCAAATCCCAAAAACAAACAAAACAAGTTCATTATTATTTATTGGTCGCATTTTAATTTCATGCTAACTATTTTGCACAGGAATTTTTATTAATTTTAGATTTTGTTTTGAATTTGTTGTTTTTTTGCCGTCTTAGACTATGCTATATAAGCATCTCTAGATCTAACAATCTCGTCAGTCGCAGTAAACGTTTTGTGTGTGTTTTACGTAGCAATTGTTTAAAATGAAATTGTTATACCTTTTGGGAGCGTTTATCTTAATTGGCGGCACAGATGCCGTTGACGACGGTCTGATCTCACACGAATCCAATGTGGAATATGATGGAAAGTTTCATTACCAGTAAGTGTGTTGGTCTGGTCACCTTTGATCTCGACACGTGGCCCTAAAATCACCATCATCCCTGCACAGTTTCGAGACAAAAAACGGTACAAAGGTCACGCAGGATGGTTTGCTTAAGCACGTCAATGCGGAGCACGATGGCGAGTCCATTCAAGGGAAATTCTCTTTCAAGACTAACGATGGACAAGAATTCGCCATTTCCTACATAGCCGATGAAAACGGATTCCAGCCAACAGGCGCACATCTTCCCACACCGCCTCCGATACCTGAGTCTGTGCTCAAAACACTTAAATATCTCGAAGAACATCCCCAGCAAAAGAAAAATTAGAAAAATTAACATAAATTGTGATTTGTTTGCAAAACATCTTTAATGTAAAAGAGAAAAGTTATTTTTATAACCAAATGGACTGAAATAAAAACGAAAACAAAATCCAACAAATACAAGTTTGTGACCTCAAAATCAAAAGTCAACATATAGTATTACGCCATAATACGTGGACGTGATCGGGCTGTTGCCAAATTCTTGGTACAGTTTTCTTTTTCAATTTGTTGCAAACATAGCTGCAAATTTGCCTGAAAGTCGCTAGAATATTGGCAAACATGTATTTGCATATTTGTTTGTGTATTTGTGTGTTAAAAAACATCTTAACAAGGCGCTAATTTCTAAAAAGGCGAACTGATTCACTTATAAGTATATATGTTTGCATAGAATCAGAGTGTATTGCTGCAAATAAGTATTATCGTGTCGGACAACATTTGGTTTTATATTACTGGCACTATTTCCGAATGACAAGCTTTATAAGAACTACATACTAGAGCTTTGTGTAAGTGAAAATTCGTGAAGAAAACTCAATTTATAAACCACACAATTTTACTAATTCGAACAAATGTATTTGATAAATGGAATAAATGGAATGGAATCTAAATAGAAATATAGAACCACATAACTACCTATTTAAATAAAGAAATATTCAGACGCGTGTTACACAAATATTTTGGAAAACTCCGACTGATTTCGATCTTTTAAAAAATAATTCAACTGCAAAAAATTGTTCCAATACTTGGCTAGAAAGCATAATTATTATAAATTTTAAAAATTATGGTTTAGTTGTATAACTTATTAATAAAAAAAGACACAAATACAAAAATATCAGAATTCTTCATTTTCAATAATGCTAACCAAAACTAATCGTGATTGTAAAGTGTAAAAGATCTGTGAATTTTGTGATTGATTTCATGAATGTGCGTGATTGTGGCGGTAAGTTTGTGTTTACGTGCACATCTCTAATACACACATAAATACTTGTACGTACGTAGATACATACAAACATAAATAATATAAATAACTGGTTAGCAAAATACGATAAATGTTTATTTACATATATTCTAAACCTAAACCGATTATGCAACTGAAATCAAAAGTGTTTTTATTAGCACTTTTGTGCTAGACTTAAAAAAATATCTTAGAAATGTGTCGATACACAATATCCAGAAAAGATGTTTAATGTTACGAGTATGTGATCATATTATTCACCTTAAAAACACAAATAATTACATTTATTCAGGAGAATGGAAATGACACTTGACTATACATACTTGAGTATTACATATTCAGAAACAATTTCAGAGAAGAAATTTTGTTTAATGTTAAAGGGTGGAATTAATTTGTCTTGAACATAAAACAAAATTTTATAACAGTTTTTTCTTGTTTATCAAAAATTAATTTTTTTCACAAAAATTTACACCAAAATTTAGAATATCTTTTTTGTTTTAATTATACTTCAAATTGAACAATTAGTGTTCAAAATTATGGATACCTATCGTACTTCTTTCGTAATGGATTTTATAGATTTTTCTAAGTGAAGGATAAATTGATTATTTGATTATTATTGTTTATTGTTGCTAAATTCTTAATTGTTTTTGTTTTCCGGTTTGAGCAAACACGGCACCCATCAGTGTAGAGATCTAATCCCGAAATTGTCCATCAATATGCGATATATAGTAATTTTTGAAATGTATTCGAATTCAGCTACATCGTGTACTTTCAGTCGGCGGTTAACTTTCTTCTTTTTTTGAGAATAATTTTGGATATTCCGTAAATGCGCATTTTTTCTTGTTAATATAAAATATGTTTTTTGAGTTGAAAATATGAGCGACTCACAGTTTATTGACCGGCTTCAGTTGTCTGTGCATTGACCGTCGTACAATCCAGACATTTGTTAATATTCACAACATGTACCTAATTATATTGCCAAAATTATCAATATCTCTAGACTCGAGGCATTTAACTCTCGGTACTCTACATTTTTTATTGAGTCTTTGTCTGTGTTCACCGTTAGCTACAAAAGATTCGTATAGACGTGCTCACATATTCTAGTGTTTGTTGTTCGCCAAATAATTTCCATAATTGAAACGTGCTCTGCATAAATAAAGTGTTCAGTTTTTATCTCTGCCAATTGCTTATATAACTTTTACCATTTCTCTGGCATTGTTTTGCTGTGTAAAATTCGTATAGCATTTCATTGATGACAATTTAATGATACTTAAATGGACTTAGGTGGAACTCATTTGGCCAACACACAGTGAGTGCAGGTTGTCGAAAAATGTGCCGACAATTAATTAGCAACCATTTTTTTGTTAGAAGGTTAAGTAAATTAGATGGATAGTGGCAACAGTACTGCAATCTTTAACGGTTTTGAAGCTGATCAGATCAGTTGGTTTTTGCAAAAGCTGGGGCAACAGAATCAAATTCAACGGAACTTAAATCAGAGACGAGAATAATGTACTTTGCAGGCAAATCACGTAGTTGGCCATGGAAGCGCGCAATGTCGTCAAGAGACCAGTCCGGCACAACTACAGATGCCGGCTATCAGTATCACCTGTTGACATGGCAGTGCCATCTCTTTGGCGGCACAACAGCTTACTCATCTTAAAGGCGCAAGAAACGAGCAATAAATGGTGATCAGGCCAGTGAGGACAGCGCCGAAACGAAAGCAATTGAAGCGAAGAAGCGGGCAAGTGCGACCGCTCATAATTTTTGCTTGTACTCTCAACACTTTGCCGTCGAGGCGGCTGCTTCTCAGAGCGGCTTATCTAGTGCGCCCATCGTAACCAAAAAAAAAAAAAAAACAAAAAAAAAACGAGCTTACGACAATTGCTGGCATGCGTGAGTGTGAGTATGTGTGTACACTCGTCACTATATAAAAGGCCAGAAGCGACGCCCTAACATTAACAGTCGCACAGCAACTCTTTGGAATAACTCGCCACCTTGTCGTTTGCTGCACAAAACTTCTGAAGGATAAAGCCACATTATGTATAGAATTGCAAGCATCTTGTGCTCAGCCGTGCTGTTCGCCTTCGTACTGGCACGTCCGCAGGACTTGGAGCGTGCTGCTGCAACCACAACGCCAGCCACCATTGTGAAGCAGGATAATGTGAACAATCCGGACGGCAGTTTCAACAGCAGGTATGCACTACATTTCTTCAAATGACTTCATACAGTTTAAAGCTTAAACTGACGAACCTATTTGCACAGCTACGAGACCTCGAATGGGATACGCGTGGAGAACATTGGCTACCTCAAGAAGATAATTATACCAAAAACGGAAACACCCGATGGTCAGGTGATTGACGAGCACGAGGAGCTGGTGCTGGTGCAGACCGGCTCGTACAGCTACAGCGATCCCGATGGAAATGTCATCACACTGCGCTATGTGGCCGATGAGAACGGCTTTCAGCCGCAGGGCGATCATTTGCCGGTGCCGCCGCAGTAGTTGGCCCAATTGGCCCACGGGTCGTATGTGTAATTAAGTAATTAACATTTAGTTGTATGTATCTATCTCTATTTAACTGCAAAGTATTACGTACTAAATACTGAATACCATTGCATTGCCTGATGCTGCCATAAACGAAATATAAAAACAAAACTTTTGTAAATGGTTCAATGTGTGGCTCTCTTTTTTATTTACTCACTCATGTTATGTAAATTACTGACATGGCAAGTCAAGCTAAGACAACAAACCGCAAAACTTCACAGCCAAAATAAATAATGAATGTAATATGAACTTTTATTTTTACAATATCTGCATTCCTTTCAACTTAACGTGACATACAAGTCGGTGTCACACATTTCTCAGCCTCATTGCGTCTATGTAAGATCAGCGGCTGCCCTTCACGCCGGTTTGCGGTTACCGCTGACTCTGACGCTGACGCTACCGATGCTGCAGACTAAGGTCATTGCTTATTTACACGCATGCACGCACATCTCGAAATGATACCGAAACCAAGATAAATACCCTAATCGTTGCACAGCCACAGTAATTGGCATTGATATAGGTGAACTGATTTGTTTACTCATCGATTTCGTTTGTCCAACTCATTGCAAATAAATAACGAAACCTCTCATCGATTTTACTCGTGTTTAAATGCTTAACTTTATACAAAGGCTCATAATTATTTCATTTAAGTAGCTTGCAAAAATGGTCAACGATAATTAAATCAGCAGGTATTTAAAAACTGATGTCGCAGCACCAAAAACTCTATTTAATTCGTGAAAACGCGTTCGAACTACCAGTCGTCAAAATGGGATGGAATATTCACCTTTTTCCAATTCTTACCCTACTGCTCTTGTGCTGTGAGGCACAGATATTTCCTGTAAGTACATTCGATTCACCGCATTGGCATATTAATAATAATTGATCTAACACTCAGCACATGGGCTATTATACAGAGATAACTGAGCTCGACTGTGTGTCCAATCCAAAGTATATTACGGACATAAGTTGTGACATCATTCGACCACTAAACAGAAGCTTTTCTAGTTCACTAAAAGTCGTGCAACAGCTGAATGCTCTAAGTAGTACCCTAAAGCTCTCGATACCAAACGAAAAGAATAAGTTTCAAAAGATATACGATATAGCCTTTGATCTATGCAAAACATTCGGAGAGAAAAAAAGGAAAAGGTTACTCAAATTTATCCTCAGTAACTTTGAAGGAGGGGAAAATGCGAAATGGCGTTGTCCCTTCTCACCGGTGAGTTCAATAATAATCACACGATAATATTAAATATACATTTTTTCACTATTTTAGGGTATCTATCAATCGCACAATATCACACTTGCCCAAGATTTGCCCTCGTTTCTTACTGAAACCGATTTTGTGGCAAAAGTAAGTGCGTTTCTTCCTAGAGTTGGATACGTGGCAATATTTACAATAAAAGCCCGTTTGATTGACAGAGCAAAGGAGTTAGGCAGAAGAAAAAAACAAATTTAAATGTACACAAATAAATACCTTCATATTTACTTACAAACATATACGCACTCATATATAATAAAATATTTATTATATATTTGCAAACTTGTATACGTATTTTTAATCAAATCAGAGAGCATGAGAGTATACAGCATTTTTGCGAAGTCGAGAATTAAACAAATCCGTCAGCTTGCTTTGGAAAAGTGGAGTGCACAATTTTTAAGTTTGAATCAAAATATGGAGTGCGAATTTTCTAAAACTTGTTATACTCTGCACCTGAAAGGTTCCGTAGTTCTTGGGAGTTTTTAGTCAATGTGCCAATTACTTCCGGTTAGTTCTTTTGTGTCCGTATGTCAAGTTTCATTGTGATAGTTCAATTTCACAGGAAGTTATAGCCCAAGCTTTGCCAGTTCTACAATGAAAAAATGCTGACATGATATGGTGAACTGATTGGTGTACCTATCGAGCTCGTTTGTCCAACTCATTACTATTAAATATCAAAGCCATGAATCTTAATTGTGTTTAAATATTTAACTTCATAAGTACAAATTAATTTCATATTAGTAGCTTGCACAATTGGTCAACAATAATCAAAACAACAGGTATTTAAAAACTGATGTCGCAGCACGAAAAACTGTATTTAATTCGTGAAAACGCGTTCGAACTACCAGTCGACAAAATGGTATGGAATATTAACCTTTTCCCAATTCTTACTCTACTATTCTTGTGCTGTGATGTACGGATATATCTTGTAAGTACATTCGATTCATTACATTGGCTTATTAATAATAATTGATCTAACACTCAGCACATGGGCTATTATATAGAGATAACTCAGCTCGACTGTGTATCCAATCCACGGTATATTACCAACATAAGTTGGGAAATCATTAGACCACAAACGAAGCTTTTCTGGTTCACTTAAAGTCGTGCAACAGCTGAATGCTCTAAGTAGCACCCTAAAGATCTTGATACCTAAAGAAAGGAATAAGCATAAAAAGATATACGGTGTATCATTCGATCTATGTAAAGTAATGTGTGAGAGAAAAAAAAAAGATTGATTAACTTTATCTTCAGTAACTTTATCGGAGAGGATAATGAAAAATGGAGATGTCCAATCTGCTCGGTAAGTACATCGACAGTCACGCTACATTCATATTATGAATAAGCAATATATTTATTTTTCACCATTTTAGGGTAAATATCAGTTCCAGAATATAACACCTGGCCAAGCCTTGCCTGCTTTTTATACCCTGTACCCGTAGGGTAAAAAGGGTATATTAGGTTTGTGCAAAGTATGTAACATACAGAAGGAAGCATCTCCGACCCCATAAAGTATATATATTCTTGATCAGCATGACGAGAGAAATCGATCTAGACATGTCCGTCCGTCTGTCCGTCTGTCCGTCCGTCTGGATGAACGCGAGGATCTCAGAAACTATAAAAGCTAGAATAACCAAAGTTGGCATCCAGATTCTCCTAGGTCCGAGTAAGGACGAGTTTATGTTTTTTTTTTTAATTTTCCCCCCCTTCCCCCGCTGCAGAATTTCGTCAATAGCGTCCACATTTCAAATGCTACCTAAACCAAACTTTGCACACATAATTAATTGTCTACTGTTGTATAAAATTTTATTCAATTCGGTCAATTCTAAGAAAAGTTATTAGCGAAACAAATTCTCGCCAATACAACCCCCCCAAACTGCAGCAACAATTCGCTCTTCTTCTTCCTCTTTTTGCTGCTGCTTTGGGCGCATATAACTCAGTGACGGAAGTTTACCTGGGTACAGGGGGCTTGCTCGACTGTAGCGTTCTCTCTTGTTGAAACAGACTTTGTGGCACAAGTAGGAGCGTTTATTCCTAAAGTCGGATACCTAGCAATGGTAACACTAAAAGGCCGTTTGGTTGATAAAGCGAAAGAGCCCGCTAGAAAAAATGAAAACTATTTCAATGTGTAAATAAGTAACTATTTATACAAATGTACTTACATATACATACACATATAATGAAATATATGAATTATACTTATAATAGCAAACTTATTTTCAAAATGTTTTTAAAAACACACACACTCAAATCAGAATATATTTTGCATTTTTGCGGATTCGAGAATTAAACAAATCCGTCAGCTGTCTTTGCAAAAATAGGTTGCACAATTTTCAAGATTGAATCAGCTCTTTTGTGTCTGTACGGCAAGTTTCATTGTGATAGGTTAATTTTAAAGAAATTTATAGCCATTGATCTCTACCCAACCTCTGCCAGTTCTTCTTCAGAAAAATGGTGGCCTATACAGTAAACTGATTTGTGTACCGATCGATCTTGGTTGTTCACCTCATTACATGTAAATATTAAAGCCATCGATCTTAATCGTTTTTAAATATTTAACTATATGGGTACATAATTATTGAATTTTAGTAGCTTGCATAATTGGTCAACGATAATCAAAACAGCAGGTATTTAAAACTGATGTCGCAGCACAAACAACTCTATTTAATTCGTGAAAACGCGTTCGAACTACCAGTCGGCAAAATGGTATGGAATATTCACCTTTTTCCAATTCCAATTCTTACCCTACTGCTTTTGTGCTGTGAGGCACAGATATATCCTGTAAGTATCCTGTGTATTCGTATTCATTGCATGGGCATATTAATAATAATTGATCTAACACTCAGCACATGGGCTATTATATAGAGATAACTCAGCTCGACTGTGTGTCCAATCCAAAGTATATTACGGACATAAGTTGTGACATCATTCGACCACTAAACAGAAGCTTTTCTAGTTCACTGAAAGTCGTGCAACAGCTGAATGCTCTAAGTAGTACCCTAAAGGTCTCGATACCAAACGAAAAGAATAAGTTTCAAAAGATATACGATATAGCCTTTGATCTATGCAAATTACTCCGTGAGAAAAAAAGGAAAATGTTACTCAACTTCATCCTCAGTAACTTTGTCGGAGACGAAAATACGAAATGGCGTTGTCCCTTCTCCCCGGTGAGTTCAATAATAATCATATGTAAATGTGCAATATATGGTCATTCACTATTTTAGGGTATTTATCAATCGCACAATATAACACCGGCCCAAACTTTGCCTTCGTTTCTCGATGAATCCGATTTCGTGGGAAGAGTAAGTGTGTTTCTTCCCAGAGTTGGATACGTGGCAATGTTAACACTAAAAGCCCGTTTGATTGACAGAGCAAAGGAGTTAGCCAGAAAAAAGAAGAAATTGTTAAATGTACACAAATAGGTACATGCATATGTCTTACACACATATATAATAAAATATATGTATTATGTATTACCAAAAGCGCATAAACAAATCGGAGCGCCTAAAAGTATACAGTTTTTTGTCGGATTCGGGTATTAAACAAAAAAGCCGGCTGTCTTGGAAAATAAGGTGTCGCAAATTTTCAATAACAGATCAAAACGAAGGCTTCTTCTTTAAAAGTGGGAATATAATTTATGTATTTTCCTTATAAGTTTCATTCTTTCTCTTATATTATAAACTGCGAATTTAAGCAAAAC